ATATTGCTGCAGATGTGCGGGCGTGTTAGCAGTATTAAATAGACTGTCATTACTGTTACTGTTAGTTAGAACGGCTTGTATATTCTGTTAAACTACTGCATTGTATAAATACTTGTAATCTCACACATTATCAATAAGATGAATTCATTCTGATCTTCTTCCCAGTCTCTATATTCTATTATGGTATCAGAGCATCGCTCGTTCCAACCATGACGAACTCTACTTCCGATTCATCTTCCTCTCAATCCTCTCAAAATTTTCCAGTAATCTTTCATCATCCGCTACCAATCAAACTCGATTCGAATAACTTCCTGCTCTGGAGGCATCATGTTCAATCTGTGATACGAGCCCACAAGCTTCTTCAATTCATCGAAAAACCTAAAATACCATAACGGTTTGCTGTTGCCGATGATGGATCGAAGATCGTCAATGAAGCTTACAGTACCAGGGAGCAACAAGATCAGATGCTGTTTTCTTGGCTACTAGCGTCACTTTCTGATTCTCTTCACGCCCGTGTCATTCATTGCAAGCATTCACATCAGTTGTGGAATGAAATTCAGGAATTTTTTCGTTCGAATGTCGTTGCTAGGACTCGTCAACTGAAATCCGAATTATACAATACTGGAAAAGGTGATCGTTCAATTTCTGATTATCCACTTCGAATTCAGACTATTATAGATAACCTAATTCTTGTTGGAGAATTCATATATACTAAGGAACACATCGATGTGATCCTTGAAGGTCTACCTGATGAATACGAGTCACTCGTATCTTCTATCTCTTCTCGAAGTACATTGGATCCAATTACTGTATCTGATCTTGAATCTCTTTTGCTGGCAAAAGAATTGCGTCTGAAGAAACTTCGTGGCTCGTCTCAACAAACTTTATTCTCTGCCAATGTTGCACGAGTTGAATGCTCCTTACAAAACATTGATGATGAATCACAAAACTCTTCTGTTGATGCTTCAGCCCAAGTGGCTCAATTTGATGACTCAGGTGGCTCTTCCTCCTACAGAGGTAGCAGGTAGAGGTAGAGGTGGTTTTTCAAGAGGCAGAGGTGCTCGGACTAGTGGTCGTAACCCTGTTACCTGTCAAGTTTGTGGCAAGAATGGTCACAATGCACTCATATGTTATCACAGATACAATCCAGCCTATTGTGCTTCAAATCCAGCCCAATCCTCAATCAGAACCAATCTTACCCCTATTCACATCAATTTCCTCAGACTCAGAATCACTTTCCTCAGCCTTAGAACCAATTTCCTCAGCCTCAACATCATTTCCCTTCTATACCTAACCAACCAGTTAACTTTCATAACCTTGTCACACCAAGATACTCATCCAATGTTTCTGCTCCACAATTTACTTGGGGACCAACTGCAGCTTCTTACCCCTACACATCAACTCCTACCTCTAATCCCACTGTCCCAACTGCAGCTTGGGCTTGTGCTAACTCTTCCATACTAGGACCAGCACCTAGTAATCAGAATTGGTTCCCAGATTCACGGGCTACTCACCATGTCACTCCTAATCCACTCAACCTGCAGCACAGTGAGCCTATTGCTACTACTGATAAGCTCTTTATGGGCAACGACCAAGGTCTGGAAATTAAGTTTGTTGGTTTTTCATCCTTTCCATCCCCTTACCATTCATCTCTTTCATTATCTCTTAACAATATCCTACATGTTCCTGCAATAACTAAAAATCTGGTCAGTGTCAGTAAGTTTGCCAAAGATAACAATGCATTTTTTTGAATTTCATCCTCATGAATGTTTTGTTAAATCCCAGGTTTCTAAACAGATTCTTCTCTATGGCAAACTTGGCTCAGATGGTCTATACAATTCCAATCATTTCCAGCTCTTGGTCTCACAAGTTATCTGCTAAAACATCTCAAGTCAACCCAGCTAGTTCTGTTGGCCCTAGTTCTCTCATTTCCTCTTGTAATAAATCTGTTTCACATGATTCTTGTAATATTTGGCACTTAAGGCTAGGCCATCCTCACTTAGAGGTTCTCAAAACTGTACTGAATCTGTGTAATGTTTCTATGATAAATAAAAATGATTTTGATTTCTGTTCTGCATGTTGCTTAGGGAAAGCACACAGACTTCCCTCTTATCCTTCTACTACTATCTACCATACTCCTTTTGAACTAGTTTTCACTGACTTGTGGGGCCCTGCACCTGTCCAATCTTATGATGGTTACTATTATTATGTGTCATTTATTGATGCATTCACTAGATATACATGGATCTACTTTCTTAAAAAGAAATCTGATGCACTCTTAGCATTTCAAAATTTTCACCAATACGTTTCTACTCAGTTTCATGCCTCTATTAAATCACTTCAATCTGACTGGGGTGGTGAGTTCAGATCATTTACATCATTCCTTAATGAAAAAGGTATCACACACAGGTTAATCTGTCCTCACACACACCATCAAAATGGTGTGTTTGAGAGGAAACATCGCACCATTGTTGAAAAAGGCTTATGCCTCTTAGCTCATTCATCCATCCCTTTAAAGTTCTGGGACACTGCTTTTGCCACAGCTGTACATCTAACAAACAGACTACCCTCCAAATCTATTGCCAATCTTAGTCAATATTTTAAACTACATGGCACCATTCCTGATTATTCATTTCTTAAAGTTTTTGGGTGCTCATGTTATCCCTTCATAAGGCCTTATAATAGACACAAATTTGACTTCCACTCCAAGGAGTGTGTATTTCTGGGATATTCTTCTCATCATAAGGGCTATAAATGCCTCTCTCCATGCGGTAGGATATACATATCCAGGGATGTTGCTTTCAATGAAACAACATTTCCTTATTCAACTCTCTTTCCCTCCAAAAACAATACCTCTCAAACTGCACAAATTCTACCATCTTTTCCTATAACTTTTTCTGCCCCACTTTCCTTTTCCTCTTCCTCTACACCATCTGACAATGGTGTTACTCCAATCCAATCTGTTTCCAACTCCATGTCCTCCTCTTCTTCATCTCATACTCCTCTTAACAACACTAGTCATCCTTCCTCTTCTCAAACTGACTCATCTTCTCAAAATAATTCCTCTTCAAACAACTTTAACCCTACCAACAATTCTTCTCCTCCTGTCAACAATCAAACTAACACTCACCATTCCAGTTCCTCCACCACACCAGTTGTGTCCTCTTTTTCTTCCAGTCCCTCCATTCCATTACATAATACTCATCCCATGCAAACCAGATCCAAATCTGGGATTGTTAAACCTAGACTTAATCCCACCTTACTGTTGGCTCATATTGAGCATAAATCAGTAAAGCAGGCTCTTTCTTCTCCACCCTGGCTTGCAGCAATGCAATCTGAATATGATGCTTTGATTGCAAACAAAACCTAATCATTAGTTCCTCTTCCTGAAGGAAAGCAAGCCATAAGCCGCAAAATGGGTTTTCAGAATAAAGGAAAATTCTGATGGTACTGTGAATAAATTCAAAGCAAGGTTGGTTGCCAAGGGGTTTCGTCAAAGGCTTGATTTTGACTTTGGAGAAACATTTTCTCCAGTTGTCAAACTTGTTACCATCCAAATTCTTCTTACACTAGCTGTTTCTCATCACTGGTCCATCCAACAACTAGACATTAATAATGCTTTTCTCAATGGGGATCTTGAGGAAGAAGTATACATGACACAACCCCCTGGTTTTCAAGCCCAGGACACCTCTCTTGTTTGCAGATTACAAAAGTCTTTGTATGGCCTCAAACAGGCTCCTAGGGCATGGTTTCATAAACTTACCTCAGTACTATATAATGCTGGTTTTAAACAAAGCAAGTCTGATCCTTCATTACTCCTCTATCTCACTTCTGACATTCAAATATACATCTTAATCTATGTGGATGATATCCTAGTAATAGGAAACAGTCCTATTGTCATCAACCAAATCATTCATAAGCTGCATTCCTCTTTTTCTCTCAAGCATCTGGGAGATGTTGACTATTTTCTGGGAATTGAAGTCAGAAAACTTTCTGATGGTTCCTTGCAATTATCTGAAGCAAAGTATGTTAGAGATCTTTTGCACAAGGTTGGAATGTCAGATTCCAAAGGAGTAAAAACCCCATGGTCAGTAGCTGCAAGCTTACCAATGAAGGAACTGATTATCTACCTGATCCTTCTCACTACAGGTCTGTTGTTGGCATTTTGCAGTATGTTACTTTAACCAGGCCTGAACTTAGCTATGCTGTAAATAAAGTATGCCAGTTTATGGCTAATCCTCAACAAGATCATTGGAAAGCTGTGAAACACATATTGAGATACCTATCTGCTACTGTCACTCATGGACTGGTCATCAAACCTCTTCCACTATGCACATCACCTCTTTCCATTTCTGCCTTCTGTGATGCTGACGGGGCATAGACCCTACAGACAGGAAATCTACATCAGGGTCATGCATTTTCCTAAGACCAAACATACTCTCTTAGTGGTCTAGGAAACAACTGAGGGTGGCCAGATCCTCAGCTGAAGCCGAATATAGAAGCCTTGCAGACACCACTTCAGAAATTTTATGGATTCAATTTCTGCTCAAAGACCTTCAAATTCCTTTCCTAACTCCCAGAATATATTGTGACAACCTTAGTACAGTTCAGCTTGCACATAATCCTGTACTTCACTCTCGCATCAAACATATGGAGCTTGACCTCTTCTTTGTACGGGAGAAAGTCACACTCAAGCAACTTGAAGTTTTTCACATTCCAGCTTCTCAACAAGTGGCAGATGTTCTGACCAAGCCCTTATCAGCATCTACATTTCTTGAATTCAGAAACAAACTGAGTGTGATTGATTTTCCAAAACAATCATCCTCAGTTTGAAGGGGGAATGTTAGCAGTATTAAATAGACTGTCATTACTGTTACAGTTAGTTAGAACGGCTTGTATATTCTGTTAAACTACTGCATTGTATAAATACTTGTAATCTCACACATTATCAATAAGATGAATTCATTCTGATCTTCTTCCCAGTCTCTATATTCTATTAGGGCGGAACCGACCAGGGGTTTACACTCTGAACTTAGGGAGGGGATGGGTGCATGTCGGAGGAGATGGCCAGCGACATCACTTTCAGGCGGCTTGGCTGCACCATCAATATACTGGTCGAGATGAGAGCAGAAGAGGAAATCAAGGATCGCGCCATACCAGGCAATTAAAACCTTCTACGGGGTGACAATTTTGTAATATTTTACAATAATTACAAAAAGATCCCGTTTGAATTTTGAATAATTACAAAAAACACCACATGCATCTTAACCAACAATTCAGTAAAATGAAAGGTTGAGATTAAAAGTTTTCATTATAAAGAGTTCTTATTTCAATATGTGTTTTCACTAGAACCATGGTTGTCGATGGTGCGTGCGCCATGCGCCATGAGGTGCGCTTACCACCACCCCCCCCCCCCCCGCGCCATGAAAATAGGTCGTGGCGATGAATTACAAGTGGCGATGCCATTTGGGCGCCATCGCCATTTGAGCGCCATCGCCATGACTACTCTCTGCGTAGCGACTTTGGTGCGGTAGTTTCCGGTCGTAGTTCGCTCGTTTCCTCCCGCAAACGATGCTCTAGCAGTCCAACAGACGGTAGGCGACTTCCTTCTCCTAAGCGACACAGGTTAGTGACTCTGTGTTTCCCAACGACGCGTTTATTGCTCCAAAGTCCAAACGACGATTAAGCATTCAAGATTTATTTTTTTCTTTATTTAATCAAGAGTTGTGTTTATCTCTTGTAGATAGGAGAGGATAAGAGAGATAGAGAGAGAAGCTCACAACTTTATTATTTGTCATTCATTTCTTATCCAATCAAACAGAAGGAACAGGATATAAATAATAATACAGGTAGCAGTGATTCAGCCCTAATAGTTCTGATAATTACAATACTACCCCTCCATGCTAAATAAAGTAAACAAATAAGGAAAACTAAAACTCAGGAATCTTCACTCCCCCTCAAGTTGGATATGGATATCAATCATATCCAGCTTGCTCTTCATATTTTCGAATTTGTTCTTTGGAAGGGCCTTGGTGAGAATGTCGGCAACTTGAAAGTCTGTTGGAATATGCGATAGCTCTAGAATTCCAGATTCTAACTTTTCTCTTATAAAGTGTCGATCAATCTCCACATGTTTAGTGCGATCATGATGAACTGGGTTTCTCGCAATTTCAATTGACGCTTTATTGTCACAGAATAACATCATCTTTCTGTTATTCTGAATGTTTAGTTCTTTCAGCATTCTTCCTAACCATATCCCTTCACATATTCCTTGACGCATTGCACGGAATTCAGCCTCAGCACTACTTCTAGCCACCACAGATTGCTTCTTACTACGCCAAGTGACCAGATTACCCCACACAAAAGTGCAATAGCCTGTGGTGGACCTTCCATCCACACAAGATCCTCCCCAATCTGCATCTGTGTAAATGGTTACTCCTCTTTCACTGGATTTTTTGAAGCAGAGCCCATATCCTGGGTTTTTCTTTAAGTAGTGAAGAATCTGAAATACTGCTTCCATATGGCGAACTGTGGGAGTGTTCATGAACCTGCTCACCATACCAACAGCAAACCCGATATCGGGTCTTGTGTGTGCGAGGTAGATTAACTTGCCCACAAGTCTTTGATATCTTCCCTTGTCTACTATCTCATCTTTGGTTTCTGTTCGAAATTTTATTCCTGGTTCCATTGGCACACTTGCTGGTTTGCAACCCAATAACCCAGTCTCTTTCAAGAGATCAAGAGTATATTTCCTTTGTGATACAGAGATGCCCTTTCTAGACCTTGCAATTTCCATACCAAGGAAATATTTGAGTTGACCAAGATCTTTTATTTCAAATTGTCTTCCCAAGACGAGTTTCAGATCTTTAATCTGCTCTGAGTAGTCTCCCGTTATAATGATATCGTCCACATAGACAATCATAATTGCAACTCGTCCACCATGGGAGTGTTTTGTGAACATCGTGTGATCGGTTTGCCCTTGAATGAATCTGTATCGCTTGACCACCTGTGTCAGCTTTTCAAACCATGCTCGTGGTGATTGCTTCAAACCGTATAGGGATTTTCTAAGCCTGCACACTATTCCTTTGTTTTCTTGAGACTCCAGCCCCGGTGGAACATCCATGTAAACTTCTTCCTCTAGTTCCCCATTTAAGAATGCGTTCTTCACATCGAGTTGATGCAACGGCCAGTCAAGGTTTACAGCAAGGGACAGTAATACCCGAATGGAATTTAGTTTTGCTACAGGTGCAAAAGTTTCTGAGTAGTCGATCCCGTAGGACTGTGTAAATCCTTTAGCGACCAGCCTTGCTTTAAACCGACTTACACTTCCATCAGAGTTGTATTTGACAGCAAACACCCATTTACACCCCACAGTTTTCTTTCCTGGTGGAAGGTTGGTGTATTCCCAAGTTTTGCTTTTCCGAAGAGCATTGACTTCTTCTTGCACAGCATTTGCCCATTCCCTTTTTGTGATCGCTTCTTGAAGGTTTTTAGGAACTTCAATTTCTGAAACTGAAAGAGCAAATGCTTTGTATTCGGGTGAGAGTTTGTCATATGAAACAAAGTTACTGATTGGATGCATGGTACAACTTCTCTTCCCTTTACGTAATGCAACTGGAATATTTAAATCGCCTGAATCATCAGGGGAAATATAAGGACTGGAATCTTTGGGTTGAGTATTACCTGGTGAATCCGGGAAGAGTTCATGGCTATGTGCTTCAGTAGTGACTTGCTTTTCCACCTCGTTTTGTTGTCTCGGGCGCCGGGTGTAGACAATATCATCTTTTTGGACATCTTTATTTAAGTATACATCGACTGATGGGTTTGGAACAAATTCAGGGTCACTCGGATTTGGACTGTTAGATTCAACTCCAACCGGTATCCCTAATGGATTAGGAATATCCGCATGGTGACTCGGATCGGAAGGGAATAAGGTAGGATAGTCCAAAAATTGATATTCCACACAGTTCTCCTGGATTTCAGTTTTGGAATAATAAGGTTTATCTTCAAAGAATGTGACATCCATGGAATGGTAGAATTTCCTGGTGGAAGGAGAGTAGCACTTATAACCACGCTGGTTCGGGGAATATCCCAGAAAGACACATTTGAATGACCTGGGATCTAGTTTGCTACGATTTGGCTGATGATTATGAACGAATGAGGTGCAACCATATATTTTCAGTTGTAATTGGGACAAAATTCGAATGTGAGGGAAGTTAGACTGTAGAAATTGGTGTGGAGTTTTGAAGTCAATGACTCGGGAAGGCATCCTATTGATAAGGTATGCGGCAGTTAACACAGCTTCTCCCCAAAAATGATCTGGAACATAACTAGATAATAGCAATGAACGTGTTACCTCTAGCAGATGTCTGTTTTTCCTTTCTGCAACACCGTTTTGTTGCGGGGTGTCAACACAGGATGTGAGATGGACAATTCCCTGCTGAGTAAGGTAGTTTCCCAACTCAGAGTGAAAGTATTCCTTTGCATTATCAGATTTGAGAACTTGAATTTTTGTTGCAAATTGGTTTTGAATCATTTGATGAAAACGCTGGAAAATTAACCCAACTTCAGATTTGTCCTTCATCAGAAAGACCCAAGTAACACGAGTATGGTCATCTATAAAAGTAACAAACCACCTCGCACCAGAAATATTTTTCACTCTGGAGGGGCCCCAAACATCACTATGAATTAAATAGAATGGATGAGAGGATTTATATGGGAGTGGAGTATAAGAATGTCTCACATGCTTGGATAATTGACACACTTCACAATTGTAATCATTCGGGCTTTTATTCAATAAATGAGGAAACAACTTTTTTAAGTAATGAAAGTTTGGATGACCCAACCTATGATGCGATAACATCACATTATTTTTACTAGAAACATGAAATAACGATGAAACTTGACGTTTTCCCGAATGCTCGACTTCCATGTGGTAGAGCTCATCACATACTTTAGCACTGCCAATCATCTTCCCCGAACTCAAGGCCTGAAACAAGCATGTAGATGGGGCTAAGATAGTAATGCAATTTAGATCCTTCATTAGTTTAATAGGAGCTAACAAATTGAAATCGAGATTGGGAACATATAACACAGATTTCAGTGTTATATTCTTGGATATGACAACTGTACCAATGCCCGCCATTTGTGCGCCTTCTCCAGTAGCAACTCGTATGGTTCTTCCATTCGGTACAGGTTGGAATTCAGAAAGTATATTCCTATCCCCGGTCATGTGGTCAGTAGCACCACAATCAACAACCCAAGGTTTTTCACCAAATGCACTTGTTACAAATGCAGATGAAACTCCACTTTGTTGGGCAACAACTGCAATCTTTTTGTCTTCATGGGGTGTGATTTGCAACATCTTCTGAAGAGCTTGTATCTGTTCCTTGCTAAAAACCTCCTGGATGTCACTAGTTGCTACATTTACACGAGCATTAGGTTTCCAGTCAGATGGTTTTCCATGAATTTTCCAGCAGGTTTCTTTGGTGTGACCAGGTCGTTTGCAATGATCACACCAGGGCCGACCATTTTTCCTTTGAGATATTCCAGAGGCCACAGAAAATTTCATACTAGATAGAGCACGAGTTGCAAGAGCCGATCCCTCATTCGTAATACTGCCAGTATTTCCAAGCATAACCCTTCTTCGACTTTCTTCACGGCAAACTTCTGAAAAAACTTCTCTGAGGCTAGGCATAGGTTTAGTACCGAGAATTCTTCCTCGGACCCCGTCAAGTTCTTGGTTGAGTCCAAGAAGAAATTTATAAATCCTTTCCGTTTCCACCAACCGCTTGTACTGTTTCCCATCTAGTGGGCAGTTCCAGGTAATGGCATCCAGGACATCGAGTTGCTGCCAATAACGGTTCAGTGCCGTAAAATAGCTCGTCACAGTCAACTCTCCTTGACGGAGATCATGAAGAATCCCTTTGATTTCAAATATGGCTGAAGTGTTGTCTTGATTTGAGAATGTATCTCGAGCTGCCTCCCAAATTTCTGATGCTGTCTTGTAAAACATAAATTGTTCACCTATTTCCGGAGTCATAGAATTCAAGAGCCATGACATAACCATATTGTTCTCTGCTTTCCAATTTTTGTAACCTGGGCTTTTAACTTCCGGTTGGACCAGATCAATGGACAAGTATTCTTCTTTACCTTTCCCTCCGATGAAGATTGAAACAGAGTGAGACCAAAGGTTGTAGTTCTGGCCATTCAGCTTATATGCAGTGGGCAAAGAGCTGTAATCGAGATTAATGGTTGGTTGGATTTGAGATGAGTTTTCGAGTGATGTGTTGGAACTAACATCATCACTGACTAGGGCAATAGGTACATTACCGAATTTGATTGAAGCATTCATGATGAGAGAGTAGTGGAAGAACCCAGTAAAAGCAGGGAAAAAAAGAGAGAGAGAAAATTGATTTGGAATGAACCCACCAGGGAAATCACTGATTCAGAAGAGACCTGACCAGCCCGTTGAAGAATGATACTCGATTTAGAGCAGGATCGAGTGCTGCTTTGATACCATCAAGAGTTGTGTTTATCTCTTGTGGATAGGAGAGGATAAGAGAGATAGAGAGAGAAGCTCACAACTTTATTATTTGTCATTCATTTCTTATCCAATCAAACAGAAGGAACAGGATATAAATAATAATACAGGTAGCAGTGACTCAGCCCTAATAGTTCTGATAATTACAATACTACCCCTCCATGCTAAATAAAGTAAACAAATAAGGAAAACTAAAACTCAGGAATCTTCAATTAATGTGCTCAGCAATCTAAACGCCGATTCAACACGGTTACTCCTAAAGTTTGTTTAAGTTACTTTGGTTACTTGGTATTTTTTTTTACAGAACTTAGAATTTTGTTAAACACTTAACACTAGAACTTATAATTGAAGTATATTCAGTTTATGAATTACGGAGTATATGAATTGAGAATAATTAAAATTTTGGAATTTGGAATGCTACATTACTTGTTTAATATTATTTGGTATTATGTACGAATTACATAAGCTATTTTATTATTAATAGATTATCTTAAGTTATTAAGTACCTAAAATATTTGGTATTATGTATGAATTATATTTAATATTTAATTATACACACACACAAATGTTGTAGGAATACACACACACATAGGATATCACTATCCGAGTTATGATCCTATGATTTATAATCCTTAATTCGACTTTCAATCCTACATAGGATGTTTAACTTCACATGTTTTGGTTAGAATGTTGTTATTCATCTTGTTTGATCATGTTTTGGTGGTTAGGCGATACAATTATAGTGTCTACAATTCGTTTTTTTTAGTTTATTTTTGTCACGTGGCGACGCCATATTTGCGCTATCGCCATGGATAAAAGCCCGTGCACCATCGTCATTGCCATGCTCTGTGAATGTTTGCACGTTCTACCTAATTTATTGCACTAAATAGTTTCTACACTGCACTTTTTCACGTCAGAGAAAACTGTGCTTTATTAATAAAAGATGGCACCACATTTTTTTTCTCGCATGAAGTGATCAAATTTCAAAAAGTGCAAGAGACAAAATTTAACTTGCATCAAAGTGAGTAAAAAGTGAAGGTTTGCAGTTAGCATGGGGCGAATAGTTTTTATCAAAACAAACACGCGCGCGCGCACAAGCTCCCCATACACTTGCACACACACCCACTCATGCTCCCACACACGCATGCATGCACACACAAACATACAAACACACACCGGGCCAGAAGCTTATTGGCTCGAATGGGCCTACACTCTATTCTAAGTTTGCCCATATATTGTCACAGGCCCAACTCGATCCCATGGGTGAAGATATTTGTCCAAACCCGCCGTAACAGGCTTGCCCTTTATTGTACAGATCTACTTCTAAGCATTGGGATGAAGGTGGTCTGTTTTACAGATTATTCTACCTTGTGATGATATGTTCGCTAACTACTGCTTTTGAGTTTATGCATCTCATTTTTTTGCCAGAGCGTCATTTTCTTAGAGTATTCTAATTAAGTTTGCGATCCGCATTTGTTGGTCTTAGGAAGCCATCCGAGCAGCCGGAAAAGCCAACAACGTGGGCAAGGTGGATGAAAGTGTAAAAAGAGCAGTAGGAACTGCTAATAAAGCCGCAACTGCAGCAAGAGTAGCAGCTGTGAAGGCAGTACAAAATCAGATGCACCACGACAACAATCTTTCAAATTGACATTGCCAAAATACCCTTGATTGGAGTTTTTGGTAGTGGTCCCAAAATTATACTACCTCTACAATGAGCCAAAAGTGAATACGAGGTATCTACATACTTGTAGTCCTGCATGCATGTCTATATGAACTAGTAGCATTTAATCGCATTGAGGATCATAGGAGCAAGCCCAAATTCTTTGGGTCCTCCCCGAATTGTTGGCCGGGCAATAAAAAGTGTACATACCTGTATCTTTGTTGTTGCTACATGTTGCTGAGAGCATGCATTAAAGCACTTGGGGCAAGTAGTTTAGTGGTGTTTCATGGAATCATGGTGTTGGAGGTAGTGTAATAAAACATATAAAGTAGGAGGAGACTGAGGTTTGTGTAATAACAAGGTGTACATGATGCATTTTGTTTGTGACGTAATGGTTGTGCTTAAGATATGCTGATATGAGTAAAAAGGATGAAATGATTTGAATCACGTGTATTTCTTTTCAAGAATGAAAAAAACAATTATTATTTATTTATCCTTAAAAAACAATTATTTTAGGACTGTTAAAGGGGGAAAAAGACATTTATAGAGGAAGTAATAAGAAATAGACAGCCTTCTTGTTGTGCCGAGGGTTGCGACTTGCGAGCCGGTCCAGCCTCCATCTGAAATTGTACGTCCATGGGTAAAGCATGAGCTACACGATTTGCAGACCGTTTACCTAAAGAGACTCTATAAATCTATAATTACTCTTTGTTAGGGTTTAGGGTTTAATAAAAATAGGACCTAAAAATCCCTATCATATCGGATATAATAGCTGAAGGTCGTCACACTCCATGACTAAGTTCACCCACCTGCTATCAAAGCTCAAGGATTCCAAACACACTTTCAGTAAATCCCAATTAACCTGGTCATAGGCCTGACTCATATCTAACTTCATGGCCACATAGCCTTCTTTTCCGAAACATTTTCTTTTAAGATAATGTTGTGTTTCAAAAGCTACTACCACATTATCTACAATAGATCTGCCAGTAATAAAAGCACTCTGATTCTCACCAATCAAGTCTCCAAGTATACACTTCAACTGATTAGCCAGTACTTTAGAAAAAAATTATAAACCAAATTGCACACGCCTATCGGTCTCCAGTCACCCAAATTTACCGGCTTCTCTTTCTTAGGAATTAAAACTAAATTAGTAATATTTAACTCCTTTGATAGAAAACCGGACTCAAAAATACCTGAGCGGCGATATACTTCGGGACCCACAATGTCCAATAAGACTGAAAAAATGTCGGATTCATGCCGTCTGAACTTGGCGCTTTTTCGGGATGCATATAAAAAATCGTTGACTTCGCCTCCTCCGGGCTTATAGGACGTAAAAGCATCCTATTCAGATCAGACGATATCCTCTGTCGATCCCTCCTCAGTCTGCGCCTGAAATAGCTGCGAGAAATAATCACAGTACTACCCACTCGGCCACGATCAGCTAGTCACCCATTCTCCTCCTTCCGTCTTCAGACCCATTATTTTGTTTTTCCTCCGCCTTTGTTTCACCGCATTATGAAAAAAGCGGGAGTTAATATCCCCTTCCTTCAGCCAGAATTCCTTAGACCTTTGCTTCCCGTACAAATCCTCCTTCTCCATAAGGGTACAAAGTGTGGCTCTCGTTCTAAGAAATTCTGCCATGTCTATCATTTCTGCCTCGAAGCCATGCTAGTCTACGTTTACATGCCAGAATCCGATGACGAAATTCCCTTTTTTGCATGCATCCCATCATAACAATTCTTTACCACAAAAATAAATTTTTCCAAACACTGATAGATTAGTACCTGCCCCCATCTACTAGCAACAACTGTCCTACATTCTTCTTCTTTCAACCAATTATTCTCAAATTTAAAATTCTTTTCCCTTATTCCATGCACCGTAGGCACTACTGTTATACACAATGCCATATGATCGCTTACCGGAGCCTCCACCGAAGTAGCCTGGGCAGCCATGAATCTGTTCCACCACTCATCATTAACCAGAATACGATCTAGTTTTTCCTCGACCCAATGCAACGTCCCCTTTCCTCTTTCCCACGTCCATTGGTATCCCATAAACGGAAAATCCCTTAAGCCACTCGCAACAATGCAGTCACGGAAGCCTCTTAATCTCTAATTCAAGTGCGGTATGCGCCCTTTCTTCTCCGCCCCGTACAAGATGTCGTTGAAGTTTCCGATGACCATCCATGGCCCTTGATGCCAGTCTGCCTGCTCTCGCAGAAGTGCCCATGACTCTCACCTTCTCCTAGTCTCCGGAAGTCCATAGAAACACGTGAGTCTCCACGGACCTTCATTGGGCGCTAGCTTGACCGAAACATCAATATATGTGGCCTGCACTCCGTTCACTATGATCTCCGAATCATCGTTCCAGCCCAACACGATCCCCCCGCTTTGACCCTCGATGTCCGCACCATAACTGTGAAAATAGCCTTGCGACCGCAGGAGGTCTTTCGCTCGTTGGCAGCCTACTTTTGTTTCCATCAAGAACAATATTGACGGGCAATGACTTTGCACAATATCCGTCATGCCTTGAATTGTTGTCAAATTGCCCAAACCACTACAGTTCCAACTCAAAATGCTCATGATTAACTAGCCAAACCGCCGGACAAGAAGGATGAAGCCTTCGCTGAAAAAACAACGCTAGGAAGCCCTAAACTACGTCCACCTTTTCTTCTTAATTGCACGGAGCTACCTGCACTGTGCTGAATCAAGAAGCCGATTGCCCTCTGCCAAATCAAGCACCCAAGTACAATCATGAAGCTTATGGAAAGGTTCCTCGATGCGAACAAAACATAGCTCCAATCCTGAAAGCCCAGACAATCCTAGACGTGCTAGGCCACTCCGCCGGACACTAGTGAATGAATCGCCGCCGGAAAACCAAAACCTAGAAATCTAGGTAACCGTCTGCATCCAAAACTGGTTGATGTTAATTGTGGCATTGTGAAATCTATTAAAAAAAGGTTTGACTCTTCAAATTTCAATTTTTTTTACCTCTTATCTTGAAATATCTATTTACGATTCTGATTCTTTGTGGAGGGTTTATGATTCAATGATTGAGCGCATAAAGTTTTTATATTTTCAAATTTGACATGAGTTTCTTTAGAGATTTAAATGAATCCTCATTTTAGAGGCAAAAAAAATTCTCATTGTTTGGCTACAACAGCGCTTTCAAAGCGATGTTGAGCATTGCAGAGGACAATTACGAGTTTTTAGGATATTACTTTGGGAGAATTCCTCAAATGGGACTACATGGAACTTTAATTTCCAAAATAGGACCATAACTTAAAAATTCCCTAAATAGGACTAACTTTTCCATTCTACCCTTTCTTTGTTTTAATACAATTCATATTTCATTAATAATTAGAATATAAAAGTAATAACATAATGTTATTTAAAATAAAAATGTAAAAAAATAAAAAATACGAAATTAATATCAAATAAAATTAATAAAAAAAATCTAAACATAAAAATTTATAAAATAAAAAACTTAAAAAAATAAAATAAAATAAATAAAAAAGAAAAAAATATTAAAAAAATATGTTGGCCTATGCTGCCACCTCAGCAATCTCCCAGCATCTCTAGCTCTGATCATCGGCAAAAATTCCAAAGTTTTTCTGAAATACCATTTTGATGGCAGTTTTTGAGAAAATTTTGACATTTTCAAAGAGTAAAAATGTCATATGTATGACATTTTCAGTGAAAACTGGCAGTTTTTTCACAAAATGGCATTTTTTTTGCCGAACCGATGTAACTTGGCTGGGCAGTAGCCCAGACTGTGGGAGAGGCCCCCACATCTTTTATATTTTTAAAGGTGTTTTATCTATTTCTTATTTATTTTGGAAGTCTTTATTTTAGAAAAAAATTAATTTTTATTATTTTTGTATTTTTTAGAAATATTTCAGAAATTTTTTATAATTTTTACTATTTTTTATGAATACAATTATTTTTTATTTTTTTTGTGGTTATTACAAATAAAATGTGATTATCCACTTAAGTTATGGTAAGGGTATCATAGGTAGATAGGGTATATTTTAGTCGTATTTCAGGAAGATAAAAACATAGTTCTAGTTGTGCATTTAAGGATTTGTTTAGTCCTATTTAGGACACTATTAACTCCATTACTTTGTGTTTCTTCGTACACGTGCTCTCAAGTATGTGTTTATTTTTTTTAGTGTTGCTGATGTGGTGGGACAGGGCATATGATTTCCCTTTGTTTTCTCCTCAGTAGAAAGAATTAAGAAGAATAAGTGGAAAGTAGGAAGTCCAAGATAGATTGGTGCTCGTGGAAGAAGATATATGGAAAAGTAATGAGAGAGAAAGTTTTTGTAAAGAAAAAGAAAAAAGAAAAAAGAAACTTACTCCGCACAACCAACTGGCTACAATCTGTGTACAACAGGTTTGGGATCAAAAACATCGTATGTTAGGTAAAAGTCAGATTTTTTTGAGATTACGATAGAGACTGTGTTTAAAAGATCAATTAAAGGTTGGATAATTAGCACCGATTTTTTCTAATAACAACAACATTTGTACACTTTTCAATATTATATATGTTGATAGAAGGAATGATTGATTAATTAATAGATTTAACACATGTGAATTATATAAAATTATTAATTTCAGATATGAGTAGTAAATAAAAGGGAAAGTTCCCGAAACAGGACTAAAACATTTTAAAACAGTTTTAAAAAGTTTGATGCCAAACTGACAACCTGGAAACAAAAAAATCTATCTATGGGGTAGATTAATTCTGATCAAACATGTTCTCAATACAATTCCCTTGCATGTTATAGCTGTTGACAGGCTGCCTAGGAAGATTATTAATATCTTAGAAAGGAAAATGGCTGCTTTTCTGTGGAGTTCATCACACTCTAGACAAAATTATCACTGGATTAGATGGTCCCACCTTTGTTTTCCTACAGATGAGGGTGGTCTGGGAATAAGAAGCCTCACTGATATTGAAAAGGCTTTCACATTAAAGCTTTGGTGGAAATGGAAGTCAGTGAATTCTATTTGGGCAAAGTTTATTAATGCTAGATACCCTAGAGGCTCTAACATGCTTCCTAAAATCACCGACTCTCCTATATGGCGAAGAATATGCTCAATTGATGGACTGGCTACCTCATTGTGTGGAGTTACTCTGGATGGCAATGTATATTGGGAGCCAGAAACTGATGGTAGATTTTCTATTAAATCAGCATATGAAGAACTACCTAGCACATTCACTTTCCAGCATGCATGGAATCCTAAATTGCCTTTACAGATCAGACTTTTTCAGCGGAAATTGTTAAAAGGTATCTTGCCTATTAGTGATAATATGCACAAGTTTCATTATCTGCTTAATCCATCAATTTGCCCATTATGCAGAAATAGCAGAAATAAGGTGGACCACATTTTTCTCACTTGTAGTAAGATTAAACCAATTTGAGATTACTTTATGGGAGTCTTTGGAATTCCATATCTTTACCAGACAGTTACTATCAGACAGGTTCTTTTCGCATGGTGGCTGAAAGCGGGTTCTAAAAAATTAGATAATGTTTTTAAGCATTGTCTACCTGGTATAATTTGTTGGCATATATGGAAGGCTTATACTGGTCTGGTTTGGGGTTCAATGGCCCCCTTCCTTCTCAGGAGACTTTCATTAATCAGATCAAATCCTATACTCAAATGTGGGTATCAGGTTTTTCCACAGCTAAAATGCTCAAAATTGGGGACATACTTTACGAAGAGGGGTTTATTCCTACTTCATTCCGGCTCTGTGTTATCTTCTCGGTGAGTACTCGGCTAGTACTCGGCGAGTACTCCCTACTCGGCCTATGACCTTGCAGAGTAGCACAAAACTCGGTCCGAGTTAATATGGCGAGTTACTCGGCGAGTACTCGGCGAGTTAGGCTACTCGGTGAGTCGGTTAAAGAGGCGAGTTACTCGCTATTACTCGGTAGTTATATAAAAAAGAAAACTACGCTTACGAAAACCTAAAATTTTAATCGATTGGAGCTTCGCCCCAAAACCCTGTGCATTCCAAAGCTGCGATTCCACTCCCTGGAGCTGCGACTGCTACTGCCTGGACCTGCAACCTCTACTACTAAGTCTTGCGAGTGGTACTGGGAGGACCGGAGGACCTGCAAGTGCCAAAGGGCTGTTGCGAGGAGCTGCTATTGTGACGTCAACAGGTAAGTTCTTTCCCTCTTCTTCTTTTCTCTTGTTTAAAAAATTAAATTGAGATTATCCCCTGTCTGGAGCTTCGTATATTCACCTGAATCCCCTCCCCTATCTGCCCAGACCCCCTACAGTTTTTCACGATAAATACACTCTCACAAACATTTTTTAATTTACAGTCATGAACTCTACTCAGTCTGGTCAGTCTTTTAATGGTGCTGAATCTGCTGCTACTACACTTAAGAGAAAATCAGACGATATAGGATGGACATGGGGAGAGAATTGATATCCCAATAATAAATCTTTAGTGTGGTTTTTTTTTTTTTTTTTGTGATAAGAAAATGTCTGGAGGGATTCACCGTCTTAAAGAACACCTTGTCCAGGTTAAGGGAAATGTTTCTTCTTGTAACAAGGTAACCAATGAAGTGATGAAAATAGCGGCAAAATCATTGCTTGAAAAAAAATCTGCCAAGGCTAAGAAAGCTAGAGTTGACAGTATCATTGAGAGGGAAAATGCTTTCTTGGATGAGGATGATGAATTCAAGCTTGGTGATGATGGTGATGGCGAAGCGGAAGGTGGACACACAGTTTCAACCTTTACAACTGAGCAAGGCAGTGGCACAAATGCTTCTAAGGCGAGAATTAAACAATCTAACGTTAGATGATAATGGGATTTCTATCCTTTTATTCACTTCTATGCATTTGAAGACAATTTTAGTACTATATTTTAAGACTATTATATTTAAATATGTTTTTATATTTAATTAATACTAGGCCGAGTAATCACCGAGTAATCCCGAGTAATCGGTCCTACTCGCTACTCGGCCCTTGTCCGAGTTGCTACCGAGTAGCGAGTAAACTACTTAGTTCCACCTAGCTCAGCCGTTAATTGATAGCCGTTATATTTACTTGTGTTTAGCATAAGTATTTATAAGTATTTTTTGAAGAAAAGAAGAGAAATCAGACAAATACCTTCAGAATGAGAGCTAATGCATAAAACATTGCGGTGAGCAGCTTTTTGGACCAAGAGGATGACGTTCTGCCCATAATTCGAGTATAACTTATTGTAGAGAACTCGAAATCACTCGATGGCCAAAATATGAAAGGAACAAGACTCAATTGATCAATAAAGTCAGATGTTGCTGGTGGGATTTCAGGATGCATACCTCTCACTGTTTTATCCATATCTTTTGATTGGATGAATAAAATCACGTCATTCAAGATTTGGTGGATAGAAGACTTCATTAGCTACAACTTTGGTGAAGGAATCATGTCCAAATTCGTAGCGGAACACCTCCAAAATCTCAGGACAAAACCGTCGCCGGAATTGCACGAAACCGGCGCCGGTTTGCTGATTTTCGCACATAAAAGGCAAACCAGTAGCTTAACCGGCGCCGGGTTGCCCTTATAACCGGCGCCGGGTATGTCAAAATTCCAGATTTTATTTGCGTTAAAGAAGAACCGGCGCCGGTTAGGTCTGAAACCGGCGTCGGGTCGGTCCAATTCTGTTAAAACACAACGACGTGCAAGCTTATTTTTGATGGGAAAACTTCATCTTCCTCAAGTGTGATCAAATATTGCTTCTATACATTATTGTTGGGCTCGAATAGACTAAAAGATGTCATTCTTTAGCCTATATAAAGCCCTCAATTCATCAAACATCAACATTCCATTCCATACTTTAATTCATAGCTTTTATATTTTGTTCTTGCTAATTTTCTTCAAGTTCTTGAGGGGGAAACTTCAACCTTCGAAATCATTCGTGTTTAGGTATTATTTCCTTTGTAATTTCATGTTCCATTACATTTCAATATTGTATTGTGATTAATATGAGCATTAGAGGCTAATTTCTTAGCTAAGGCTAGGGATGAACCTCTATGACCACTAGGTGTTTGATAAAAGTTCTAAACCAATAAATTGTGATTTATCCTTTATATTTTGATTGTTTATGACTTTGGTGTACAACATAGAAGTATGTTAAATTTAGTTTATGCTTGCAATTAACGTTGAAGTCTAAACTATGAACATTAAAGGATAAACATATATAGTACCGAGAATAGAAATATATCTGGTCTTATATGATCAGGGGCGGATGGAGGGGGTGGCCTGGCTGGGCCATGGCCCAGGGTAATTTTTAATATTTTTGTATTATATATTTAGTTTTTAATTTTTTTTTGAATTGGTCCAGTGCAAGAGAAATACTGGCCAAGTGTAGATCCATTCTTGCCCAGTGCAAAAAACGGTCCAATGCTAATCTTAACAAAAGAAGCATTGCAGCAAGACAGATACGGATAATCCTTTTGACTTTTGAGTGGATTCCAGCTGGATTTCATTTTGGTTTAATGTTTGTTTAGGCTTGAAATAAATTAGTGGTTGCCACAAATTTTACTATGTTTTTTTTATGTTTCCGGCAGTGTTTTTAATTATTTATATTCAACTTTTTTTCTTTATTTTTAGTGAAGTGTTACTTTTTCATAATATTTGAATTTTTGTGTCAAGTATAGTCGTATATATTCTTTAATTTGGATTAGATTAATACTTCATATATCAAATTATTTACTCATATTACCATTAGCAATTCTCTTTTGCATTCATAAATAAAAAAAACTTAGAATTTTAGATTAAAGAATTTCGATGACATTTTCAACTAAGATTTCCATAATTTTATGACATTATTGTTAGTTTGGTAATTAAGTATGTTACTTTGAAGGAATTTTTATTTCTTATTGATTATAGATTTTTATATAAAAAAATTTCATGCATTAAGATTTACGCTCTAGCCTTACGCCTCAATGCACTTTGAGGTTTACGCAATACTTCTTGGAAAAAAAACTCAACTTCGCAGTGCGCAATTTCAGACATTGAGTGCAACAACAGAAAGATCATTTTATGTAATGGAACACGCATGGGTGTAGCTAGGAGAGGGCCAACCTAGGCCCCCCCGCCCAGCCCAAATTTTAAAAATGTCTAAATTTTTAGTTTAAAAAATTTCGTGTAATTTTTTTCCCAAAAATAATCTTTGTACTGGCCCAGCTTGACCCAGTGTCCTGGCTCCGCTCCTGTATATGATACGGGTGTGATGTCTTGATATTCAATGAGGGTTTCAGTAGATGAACGTAAGCCGTAATGGGACTTATACGTAACGAAAACCACGCTCTCGCTGCCTTAACCGGAGTTGAGAATATATTAGCGACATCGTATTCATGATTATTGGGGAAGAACTATTATTAAATAACTATTAAAGCATTTTGGTGAATCCCGATTGCCTTAGTAATTCTCATTTTTGTTTAAATCAACCTCAAAGAACAAAGTTCCTTGAAAAACTATACCATTTATATTCTTTTGCCTTCAATACTCGACTTTATAATATCAACCATTTTCTTGTGGATCGACCCGGTATTTACCGGTATTTTATTACTATATCGGCACTTGTATACTTGCAAGTTTAGCCCGATCATTAATCCTACCAATTAAATGGAAGAATCCAACTAAATCATATAAACTGAATTCAGATGCGAGTTACTCACCTCTTTCGGCAAGTGGTGGTGCAATTTTTCGTAACAAAGATGGTCAGATGATCTTGGCAACCGCCTTTCCAGTTGAAGCGTCGTCTCCACTTGAAGCTGAGCTTCTCTCTGTAATCCGGTCTACAACGTGGGTGATTAGTGATTAGCCACGACTTTTTTGATCTCCAGGTTGAAGTGGATCCGACTATGGTGGTGAAATACATTAGCGACGGAGGCGCAGATCGATGGGGTACTGAAATTAGGAAATTGTTGGATCTGTCTGAAAGAAATGGGGTTTCCTATTCGAGCACTTGGAGAGAAGCCAACCGGGTTGCCCATTGTCTTGCGGATCAAACATTGCCCCATGAAGTTTCGTATGCCCAGGTCCAAGATTTTCCAGCCCATGCAAGGAACTCATACTTCATGGATCTTTTTGGACTCCCTTCACTCAGATTTTTTCATTAATTTCCGGTGCGGACTTAGTCCGTCTTTTGTTGCTTTATTTTGTTTTATTTCGGGAAGGTATGCCTTTCCCGAGAGGCTTGGTCTAGCTCTCCTCTCATTCTTGTATTGGATTTTTATTTCTATAATAATCTGGTAAATGTTCCCCAACATTTACCCCACTGATATTTGTGGTTTACTCACCGGCTTAAAAAAAGATGTTAATTACATTATTATTGATGTTAATAATTGTGTAGTAAAATAAAAAATTTACATAGGCTTTGATTTCTTTATGATACTCCGTATAAACGTATGCAGCTTTGACTAAGGTGCCAGACATTTTAGTTTTACAAAAGTAACTGTTATTTAAATTGTTTACATAATAACTTAATTTTTTTAATATATTGCAACGATAAATTGATATAATAGCAATAATATGTTTTTCATTTTCTATGGAATTGCATAAAACTAAAACATCCTACATGGCTACATAGTGTTCATGTAAAAAATAATATACTAAAATAATATGTAAAAGAGTGCTCTTCTCATCAGGCCGGCCTGACGGGATGCTCCGTCCGGCTGAGCCCATTTGGGCACCTTCCCGGTGGAATTTTTTGATGAAATTTTTTGAGCATGTTCCCCATCAAGTCTAGTTTGTCCATACCAAATTTCAGCTCAAAATTCGATCGGGAAGGCATTCAAATCATTTTTTGAAGTTGAATGCGTCAAAATATACATATAAAACTGCAGTCAACTTCAAAAATATGATTTGAATGCCTTCCCGATCGAATTTTGAGCTGAAATTTGGTATGGACAAACTAGACTTGATGAGGAACATGCTAAAAAAATTTCATTAAAAAATTCCACCGGGAAGGTGCCCAAACGGGCTCGGCCGGACGGAGCAGCCCGTCAGGCTGGCCTGACATGAACATTCCTCATATGTAATATATATATAGTCTCGTTCTTGTCCAGCCGGCCTGACGGGAACCGCCGTCCGGCCGAGAGAATTTCGGGCACTTCCCGATCGAATTTTTTGATGAATTTTTTTGAGCATGTTCTTCATCAAGTCTAGTTTATCCATACCAAATTTCAGCTCAAAATTCGATCGGGAAGTGCCTGAAATGTCCTCGGCCGGACGGCGGTATTCGTCAGGCCGGCTGGACATGAAGTTTTCATATATATATATATATATATATATATATATGTGTATATATATATATATATATACACACACACACACACACAGAGAGAGAGAGAGAGAGAGAGAGAGAGAGAGAGAGAGAGAGAGAGAGAGAGAGAGAGAGAGAGAGAGAGAGAGAGAGAGAGAGAGAGAGAGAGAGAGAGAGAGAGAGAGAGAGAGAGAGAGAGAGAGAGAGAGAGAGAGAGAGAAATCATCATGTCAGGCCGGCCTGATCGGGAGAGTCGTCCGGCCGAGCCCTTTTGGCGATCTTCTCGATGAAATTTTTTGATGAAATTTTTTGAGCATGTTCCTCATCAAATCTAGTTTGTCCATACCAAATTTCAGCTCAAAGTTTGATCGGGAAGGCATTCAAATCGTTTTTTTTAAGTTGACTGCGTTTTTATATGTATATTTTGACGCAATCAACTTCAAAAATGATTTGAATGTCTTCCCGATTGAATTTTTAGCTGAAATTCGGTATGGATAAACTAGACTTGATGAAGAACATGCTCAGAAAATTTCATCAAAAAAATCAATCAGGAAGATGCCCAAACAGGCTCGGCCGGTCGGAGGTTCCCGTCAGGCCGGCCTGACAAGAAGAGTTCTCTCTCTCTCTCTCTCCCCCCTCCCTCTCTCTCCCCCCTCCCTCCCTCTCTCTCTCTCTCTCTCTCTCTATATATATATTATATATATAATTTGGATCAAATAAAAAAAGTCTTAACGTGTAAAATGAGAATTAATCTCAGCCGTCCAAAACGTCGATCTGATGCACAATAACCCTTATCTGATGCACTTTCGAATAGTCCTGGACTCGGGCCGGTTCGGGCCCGGTTCGGGCCTGGGCCCGGCCGGGCCTCGGGCCAGGAAAGGGGAGGCCCGAGCCCGAACCGCCGGTGGCCGGTTCCGGTCCCGGTTCCGGGCCAAACCGGGCCGGGCCGGGCCGGGCCGAACCGGCCCAATAATTTTTTTTTTTTTTTTGTTCTCCTATTTAATCCCCTACCCCTCCCCCTCAACCCCCAACCATCCCAAACCACCTCAAATGGCCCAAAATACCTAATCCAACCTAAAACTTAAAAAAAATTTCAAAAAAAAAAAAAAAAAAATTAAAATCCGGCCCGGACCGGGCCCGAACCGGCCGGGCCGGTTCACCAAAACCTGGGCCCGGGCCCGAACCGCCCAGCAGCCGGGCCGGGCCGAACCGAACCGAGGGACCCACCGGGCCCCGGGCCGGGCCGGGCCAAACAGTAACCGGGCCGGGCCGGTTCCGGGCCGGGCCGCCCGGCCCGAGTCCAGCACTACTTTCGAATAGATCTTATTTGATGCACTTTTCGAAAAGTGCATTAAATAAGGTCTATTTGAAAGTGCATCAAATAGGGATTATTGTGCATCAAATTGACGCTTTGGACGGCTGAGATTAATTCTCATTTTACACGTTAAGATGTCTTCTCATTTGAACTCATCCCTATATATATAACATTTCTAGATGTGTTTATTTAATTGTTGCAATTGTATTTATTTTAATACTTATAATAAATATCTTTAATGTATATGTTAACATATTAATACATACATCTTTATGCTTATAATAAATATTTTAGTCTTGTATTTGAAAACATTTTTAATAACAAACAAAAAAATAAAACTTGGACCGGACACAGCCCTGAACCAGCCAGTTGCCAGGGACTAGACAATACCTCTTTTAATAGGTCTCGGCCCCATGCCCCTGTTAAAAAAACTGGGAAACCATGTTGGTTCCTAGTATGGCGATTTGAACAAACTTGGAACCGAACTGTTTCACCCCTACCTATATGGCGCATATAGGAATGGACTAACGGTGGGCGTAGCTCAACTGGTAGCAAGGGAGTGTCACAAGGGTTTGGTCTCGGGTTCGAATCCAAGCAACTACGATGAGGGGTTACTATGCTGAAACATGCACAGGACTTCTGCAAGTACCGGGGACAGAGCCTCACTCTCTATCTGTCAGATTGTGATTATAGTCCAATTTACATTCCCCTATCGTGTCGTCCGGTCGGTGTTGGGGGCCCTCAGGGATAGGATGTCATCCTTTTTTTTTTCATATAGGAATGGACTCAATTCGATCCCGGTCGTGGGGGTGGGGTGGGGTACGTGAATTGAGAATGACATCAATTATTCCGGTTATGATACCTTTTTAAAGGGAACATAATTTTAAGGAAAAATTGATAGTAATAATCCCAACTATTGGCGATCCGCTCATAATAATCTCAACTATTGATTATTACAGAATAATCCCAACTTTAGGGACCTTCCGCCAATAATGGTCCCCATGAATAAATTCTTGTAGTTTCTAAAGTGGATGAGATGAGATATAACAAGTAATCCCTATAAATAATCTCAACTTTTAATTTTTACGCTTAATTTCTATTTAAAATTCACTTTTTATAGAGGTAATATATGGTCATGGACCATTATTGGCGGATAGTCTATATAGTTGGGATTATACAAAAATAATCAATAGTTGGGATTATTTTCAGCAGACCAGCCATAGTTGGGATTATTGTTTTCAATTTTTCCTAATTTTAAAAAATACTTTCTCCGTTCGTTTTTAGTTCCAACATTTCCTTTTTCACGTTTGCCAACGCACAACTTTGATCGTCATTATATTTAATCCCGTATTATTAAAAATAAAATAAAAATCAGATTATAAAACATAGTAGTGAGACAAATTTAACAATATTTTTCAAAGAAAAATAATTCACATGCATTAACAAATATGATGTAGTCAAAGTAAAGTACATGAATAGTGTATATATTCCAATGTTGCAACTAATGCGATATGGAGGATAGTATAAATTATCTTTCATGAACAAAAAATAAAATAAACTTTGGAAATAACATTTAATAATACCAACTATTTGATTATATAATAGAGAATATTACCCGAAATAGGACTAAAAAGGTTTGAAAATTCCAAAAGAGGACTGCGAAGTTTTTATTCCCAAAATAGGACTAATTAATGTTATGTTTTGACAGTACCAGACTTCAAAGATGGCGGTATTTTTCAAACTTGACAGTAATTGTTCCTATTTGGGAATAAAAAACATGACAGTCCTAATTTGGAATTTTCAAACTCTTTTAGTCCTATTTCGGGAACTTTCCCTATATAATAACAGTGATATATAACAACTTTTCAATTAGTTTTTGATGTTGTTTTGTAAATGACTGAATTTCTTATTGAAAAGTGCCTCCATAATATTTTTGTTATATATTCAAATAGTTGATATTATTAGAAATCATTTCGAAAGTATACACGGAGTTTATTAGTTGTTCATAAGTGGTAGTTGGTATCATTTAAAATTATTTTCCCTTTTCTAAATGCAGAGCGTACTTTTAAACCCTCATGATCCCCTCTATAGTCCATACTCTTTTTTAGTTTTTAGGATGTTTTTACTTGGACTGTAATTCGTCTCAGACCAGATCTGAACAGATGAAACCAGACCAGCCTTAGATAGTTATAAAATACAAAGAAACCAGACCAGAACAGTAAATTACAATCCAAGTTAAAACATTTTTAAATGGATTTGCCTGTCTTTTAAAAGGTTTCCAATATCGGGACCAGATCGACCAGTCTCTATGACTCTATCACAACAAGAGTCGGTCTCCTAACCAAACCACAAAACCAGTATAACTAGCCCCACTAAGAGCATCTTCAATGCTGATTCGTGAACGGTGCATACGTGGCATGAGAGATAGCCAATTAAAAAATAATAAATAGAATATCTTTCTCCTTATTTGAAGGATCTTAAATCATTTTGATAAGTTTTTCTTCACAATGTCAAACACAATGTCTAGATGTAGACATTGTGCTTGACATTACAAAGGAAAACTTACCAAAAACACATAAAACTGTGGAAAGAATGAGAGAGAAATATCATAAATTCAATCTTTTGTGTCGATCTCTCTCATGCCACGTGTGCACCGTGCACATTGTAACATTGGAGATGCTCTAACAACCGGTCCAGGACCATGGTCTGGGTCCACCAACATGATTATATATCTACCGGTCAGTATGTGAATGCTGTTCCATAAGCTAAAAGCTATGTATATATAATTGTCTTCTACGAATATAAGTGCAACCAAATAGACATCAGTAAATTGTTTTTGACTTACTAGTAATTTCAATCTAATTGGATCCTTCTCAATTTGCCCTAAATTATGGTTGATATCATTTGATTTATGTTTTTTTTCTTGTTTCCCCACATTTGAAAGAACAGAAAAACAAAAATGTTATAGGTACCCCCATTTTTAGGTATCCCATTTTTACTCTCCTCTATTGTGTGGCCCAAATGAGGCAATACATTTAAGTGGGGCAACTCATTTAAATGTGGGAAATTTTCACAAATAGGTTGAAAAGTGAAAATAATATCACTTTTGTCACCATCTAAAGTTTTTTTCAAAATTAGGCTACTTAAGCGTTTTCTTTCATAAATGGACCATGCTTCAGTATGCACTCCTTCAGAGTTCGGAGGTCGCCAAGTTCCGTATCCTTGCTCCCGATTTGAGAACCTGCATATCCATATTCCAAGTGGGCTAGTTATTGAACTCATAAAGTTCTAGTAATTACTACGTATTCTTTTTCTAAAATAGAATAAATTGTAAACATGTTTATATTTATAAACATAAAAAAAAATATAAATAATTGGAAAGAAAATATCAGTCTTAAAACAAAATTAATTAAGAAAGTAAAGAAAAATTCAAAGCAAAAATAAAAATTTCAAACAAAGTTGTAATAAAAATGCCGATTGAACCTATAAGTTAAATTTATAAAATAACTATGAAATGTAAAATAAAATGTTCTGAAACTATTAAAAATATGAAACATAATTAGAGAATTCGTGAAAGATTACTTGTTTAAAATTGGAATATATGCAAAATAAAAAATCTGTAAAATTCAAATAAATATATAAATTGAAAATATTCAAAAATTTCAAATTAAGTAAAGACTATTTAAAGTAAAATATAAATAGAAAATAAAATTCATAAAAATTAAAAGTAAGAAAACCAATCAAAGCTCAAAAGCGTGTGACATTTTAAAAAACCTAAACGCCTAAAAGTTAAAGACAAAATATGTAAAATAAAATATAAAAAAGTTTTAAAATTATAAGAAAACCATAAGAGGCATTTCAAGATTTAATGAAAAGAGTAAACTTTAAAAAACTGGAAAACACAAAAAAATACCTACGAAATTTAAATAAATGTTTAAATATGAAAAAATCAAATAAATATATAAATTTATAAAATAAGATAAGAAAATAAATTCTTAAAAATGGAAATTAAATTAAATTAAATTATAGAACTTGTAAAATTGAAGAAATCGGAATCAAAAACATGAAAAATGGAAATTAAATGTAAAAAAATTAAACCTGAAACATTTTGAAAAGTTAAAAAGATGAATTTTTTGACTCCATACTTTTCATAAGGTTACAAAATTTAGTAAGTATGATTATCATTTTGATGTTAGTTTTTGTTTTGTATTGTTTCTTTGTGTTTATTGTTGTTGAAAATTTTGAAATTCTTGTTTTTCATTGTTTTTTCTTGTTGTTCATATTCATTAATTGATATTTAACATTTTGATGTTTTTTTATATTGTCTATATATAGATATTTCTATTTTACAGATGTAGAAAAACAAATACAAATCTAAATAAACAACAAAAAACTAGTAAGAAACAATGTGCAACAAAAAACAAGATGCAACAAAATGAAACACGATGCAACAAAATGAAACAAAATGAAACACATGTGATACAACAAAAGGAAACAAAAAAAATATGTAATAGTTTCACAAAGAATATGCAGTACAATTCAATCAATCATTTCAAATTATTACATTTATCGATCATATCATTTGCCTTTGTTTTATCTTTTCTTCTCTGGTATGTCACCCGTAATGAGACCAGTGTTAGTGTGCCTCAGCAAAGAGAAATCATTGTTATTCTTCATACCAGTTGATGGTGGACTTCTTCCCTACAGAATATCAATCTTTTAAGTAAAGGAAAAAATATATTATTTGTTTCATTAAAAAAAAAACACTTCAGAATGATAATGCCCAGGGGCCAAGCCAAGTTGCAAAATGAGGTTAGAACCTGGGTTGCCCAGGTATATGTTCTTCAGATGAGGAGGGCATGTTTGTACAAAAGTGGATGTGCACTTTTGAATATTCAAGAGTGGATGTACACAAACCATTTCTTATTGAATTCCTTCATTCAAATGTGGATATCACAATACAAAGGCAAACTGATTTTGAGAATTGTGTGATTAAAAAACACATAAGGTATTAATCCTTCTGAATAAGGCAAAGTCATAGCAAATAGCAAATACTCTATTAACAAACAAAGAAGGAATTTTATTTATCACCCAAATTGATTAAATGTCTAAATAAGGTTGAGCCAAAATACAGATTTTACAACATTGTACATTAACATAGCAAAATATAATAAAATAAAACACATTATTTAATCCTAGAAAATATCAAAAGTTTGATGAATATAAATAAATTTGTTCCCAAAATCAGATGGAACACCTCTAGATGCCAAATCAGAAGCAAACTAACCAGAAGTGGAAATGAAGAGTACTTGAACAGAAACAATCAATGAAATTCAAGAGAAAAGCTTGGAACTCACCGGTTATTATTTTACAGCAAAAAGGTCGGAATACTGCGGTAGTAGTGATCAGGTTTATAGATACGAAGAAATCCACATGTGGAGTTGCATTGATTTGAATTCCAGAACCGTCTATGGTTGCTGCTCTCCAAAACAGACCGCCAGTCGCCGGACGGTCGCAGCCCTAGACGGTACCGAACGAAAGACCGGACATGCAGATAATTGAAAGTTGGACTACGCACCCACGGAGTATCCCTGTCGTGATGCTAAAAACTCCATTGCTGCCCCAATCTCTGCTCCAATGGCGTGTCCCGATTGTCCTCCAAACGCTCAGATGATGTTCTCAGAGGGAGACTCCGATTCGATGGAAATCGCCGGTCTGGAGCTTCCATCCCCAAGTCGCCGATCTCATCCCTTAAGAGGGAAGCAAAACTAACTCAAATAAATCTTAAATTCGTATATAGAGGGCCATCAATTGATGATAGACTCAGATTGTAAAAGTAGAATATGGAGTCGGTGATTTGGGGAAGAATCTCGAACGGCAAATTTCGACGGATCGGTGAACCCGTTTGGGAGCCACATCCACCGGGAGATTGGAGGAAGACAGGGAGACGCCGTTGGAGTAGCGCTAGGTAGACCTGTACAAAACCGGGCCGGCCCGCCCGGCCCGCCCAGCCCGCCCGCACAAATTAGCGGGCTTGGGCATATATATTTACCCACCGGCCCGGCCCGTGCCCGGCCCGCAACAACATATGGGCGGGCTTGGGTTAGGTTGTCGGCCCGTTCGGGCCGATAAGCCCGGCCCGCTACATTTAGTATATATACATATATATTTTTATATATACTAGTTTATGTATTTATTTACATGTACACATGTATATTTTTATATTTACTAATTTATTTGTATACATATTTATAGTTTATTATATTTAAATTTAAGTTTTTAGTTCTTAACAAATAGTCTAACCAATATAATATCTATTTTTGTACTTAACGATAATACTTTGTGCATGAATTTTAAATTTTAGATATAGTTTCTCATTATTATTTTTATGTAAATATTTTTTGTGTATGTGATGAAAGGCCTATATACATTATAAGCGTATTAGCAATTTTTTAAATGTTGTAATATTATTTATAAAGTATTAAATAAATTATATAATTTTGAAAAATTTAAAGTCTTCCCAGGCCCGGCGGCCCGGTGGACTACCCGGCCCGCTCTTACGGGCGGGTATGGACATGGGGTTGGGCCCGTTTTTGCGGGCCGGGCCGGGCCCGCCCACACACGATGGACAGAAAACTTATGAAAAGCCCGACCCGAGCCCGGCCCGAACCCGCTTTTGTGCAGGTCTAGCGCTAGGGACAGACGATGGTGTGCGTTCAATCGTCATCTAGCCCAGTCTTCATTCGTTCGGCGAGGTATAAGGCTAGATGTGAAGGGAGATGAAAGTACGAATAGATAGAGGAGGTTGGCTGAACAAATCTAAAAGTGAAATAAAAGAAATAAAACTTAAAGGAGAAAAGTTTATAAATGAAAACAGAAAGTAACGGAGACATAAATGATATGCTGCACATACAAGTAGACTTAACGGGATATTTCCACTTTAAATGTGGCTTCATTTGGACCACACAAAGTGTGGGGTAAAAATGGGGGTACCTTAAAATGGGTACCCAAAATGGGGGTACCTATAGCACAACTCATAGAAAAATGATACGTGGTATGAAAATCAACCCATTCTTTACGATTTATAAAAATGAAAATCAACCATCAGTCAGTCACATACTTACATAGCAAATCCATCATAAGAGAACGAAACATTTCCAAAGCAAAACTAAAGGCATAATCATCAAGTAAGAAATGCCTAATTCGAGAACACCCTTCTATCAAAATGGTTTGCCGTGAATTGCACAAGATATGGAGCTCAGCCTCCCTTCTTCACTGCCCCCACCGCGGAGGCAGAGGACAAGGTGGATGGTGGATTCCTTTTTGACATTGTAGTCCGCAAGCGTAAGGTGGTCCTCAATGAGCTTGCCAGAAAAGGCAAGGCGTTGCTGCTCTGGCAGCATGCCTTCACTTTCCTGAATCTTTTCCTTCACCCTGTAGATGGTTTCTGACGGTTCAACCTCAAGGGGAATCGTTGTACCCCTCATTGTCTTCACAAAGATTTGCATCGCCAGCTCCCCAGCTGTTTCCTTCTTCCAGTTACGCTTTCTCAACCCAACCAAATCAACCAATTTCACCTTCAGCCTAGAAGACAAATCTTGGCGGTTTGACATCTTTACCATCTCTTCAAAATACGAATCCATTTGCTCTTTCTTAGATCCAGAGGGGTGGTCCAGGAATTCGCCAAAGGTACGCATCATGTGGTAAAGGAGTTCAATATCATCTTCGTCTGGTTTCTCAGCCTCTCCAGCGAGCAAATTTACAATGCATCTATGGATAGGGATGGACTCAACCGGGCCGGCCCGGCCCGGAACCGGCCCGGCCCGCCACTGTGCAGGCCCGGCCCGGAACCGGGACTGGTGAACCGGTTCGGGCTTTGACCCGGCCCGGGGGGGTTTGGCGGTTCGGGTCCGGTTCATTTGTTTGGTGGCCCGGCCCGGCCGGTTCGGGCCCGGGTCGGGCCTAACGGTTACTTTTTTTAAAAAAAAAAAAAATTTTGTTTTTCAGCCAAACAGGCCTTATGGCCGTTGGCTTTCAACCCAAACGGCTCTATAGCCGTTGGGAGCCTTCCAGGGGGTCCCGGGTTGGGGGGTGGGGGGTGGGGGGGGTGGGGGGGTGGGGGTGGGGTACTAAATATCTATAAATACTCCATTTTTTCTATACACTTTACTACACATCTTCTCCAAATATCTCTACTCTCTAAATCTCTAATCTCTATTCTCTATTAATCTTTCCCATCTTCATCTTCTCAATTTCTCAAATTTATTACTACATATATTATATTTATATAATTTATTATCTACTTATATTAATATCTAATTATTATATTATTGTTACTTATATAAGTATATTTATTTACTTATATTCACATATTACATATACTTAATATATACTTATATTAGTTATACATATATTAAAGTATAATATATAAGTGTATTACTCAACTTATAGTAATATACTTATATATTAAAGTATAATATATAAGTGTGTTAGTCATCTTGTAGTAATATTAACATAATATTATCTACTTATTATCTACTTATAAATATATATTTACTACATATATAAGTGTGTTAGTCATCTTGTTAGTCATCTTATATTATATATACTATCAACATAATATTATCTACTTATTAATTTTGTTTACACACTAATACATTCTTCATTAATATAAAAGTTGTTAATTGTTGCACTTATCATTTTAGACTTTTAGTATTAGTTCATTGCTATAAAAGTGGTTAATTGGTAGTTGTTAGTTTATTGGAAATAGTTACATTAAAAATTGTTAGACAAGAATTCGAAATTAATTGTTTACTTGTTAAACTAGTTAATTGTTACATTTCTTAATCTCCTCTAATACTAGTTAATTGTTACATTTATTATTCTCCTATCAAACATTCCCATTAATTTTGTTTACACACTAATACATTCTTCATTAATATAAAAGTTGTTAATTGTTTCACTTATCATTTTAGACTTTTAGTATTAGTTCATTGCTATATAAGTGGTTAATTGGTAGTTGTTAGTTTATTGGAAATAGTTACATTAAAATTTGTTAGACAAGAATTCGAAATTAATTGTTTACTTGTTAAACTAGTTAATTGTTACATTTCTTAATCTCCTCTAATACTAGTTAATTGTTACATTTATTATTCTCCTATCAAACTAGTTAATTGTTAATTATATTATAGTTGTTCGAAAATTTATCTACTTAATATATTAAGTGTATTCCTCATCTTATAGTCATATATTTATATTATATATACTATAAACATAATATTATATATTACTAGTTAATCTACTTATTATCTACTTTTAAATATATATATTTACTTTATCTACTTATACACTTAATATAAAAGTAGTTAAATTTCTCCTATCAAAATAGTTAATTCATTGTTACATTTATTATTCTCCTCTAAATTTCATTGCATTGTTACATTTAATGTCTAGTTAAAATTTCTCCTATTGAACTAGTTAATTGTTATTTATATTGAAGTTGTTCAAATTTTATAATAAAAGTTAATTTAATTGGTACATTTTAATTGTTACATTCTAGTCAATTTAATTGTTCGAATTTAATTGTTACATTGTAGTTCGATTTGTTAGATTTGTATTTGAAATTCACTAGTTTAATTCTACTTCGAATTTAATATTTGTTATATTTTTAAGATGGAACGTGGTAGAGCTTCAGTAGATATGGGTAACCTCCGCCGCAACCGAACAAAGGAGATTGCGAGGAATCATCCAAGCTTGCAGAAAGGTAAGGGACGGGCCGGGGCTTCATCTCAAACCCGAGATGATTTTGATGCGGATTATAACCAAAGATATGGGTCTGCGATGTCCGATGAGCAAGTAGAACAACTATTACAACAAAATCAAGGGGCCTTCTTCCATCAACAAAACATCCCGACCATTGACGAAGAAGAGCTCGAGGATGATGATGCGGAGGAGAGGGATCCGCAAACGGTCGAGCACGAGGTTCATGGCACACCGTACGATGATGAAGAGCAAGCGGAAGTGGCTACTTCTTCCCAAGGCGGTGAGAAAGCTGAATCAGTCTTTAAGGCAAATTTTACAAAATTTAAAGACCCCCAAACCGAGATATGGTACGCCACTTGCAAGCATTGCCCAAAGAAGTATAACTTGGGAACTTCTGGAGGGTACGGGAGCGCCACAAGGCATCTTAAGGCCAAGCACCCGGCGGAATATGCGAAATCAGACAAAGGCAAGGGAAAGCAAACACAAATTTCAAGATTTGGAAGTGGCCAACCCTTCGGTAATTTCTCCTATGATGATCAAAGACATTTGACTGGTATGTCACATTTGATTGTTGAAGAAAATTTGCCTTTTATTTTTTCCGAAAGTCTTGCTTTAAAAGAATATGCTCAAGGTACTTTAAATCCTCAATTTCGAAACTATAGTCGCAAAACAATAAAAAAAGAAGTTATAAGGCAATATGTTTTGGAAAAGGAAAAATTACAAATATTTTTCGCAAACTTTGATGGCCGTGTTAGCATATGTAGTGATATATGGGAGGATACTCATCATCATTTATATTATTTGGGTTTGACTGCACATTATATTGATGATGATTGGTGTATGCATAAACGTGTTCTTGCTTTTCGTGAATTTAATGATCGACACACCGGCGATAATATTTATATTCTCATTGAGCGTATTTTAGTTGAGTATAATTTGATTGATAAGGTGTTTGCTATTGGTTTTGATAATGCTACTAATAATACTGCGGCTATTCCTAGATTGCGTGAATTGTGTGGTTCATCTTCTTTGATGGGTAGGTTTTTTCATCAGCGTTGTGCATGTCATATTTTAAATTTATGTGTAAAGGACGGTCTTGCGGCGTTGGGAGATGCTTTGGAGGTGGTCAAGGGGGGGATTAAACTGATTTGGGCTAGTAATCCACTTAAGATGCAATGGAGAAATTATTTGAAAGAAAGACGTGTCAAATATTGTGCTTTTCCTAAAGATTTGTCTATTCGTTGGAATAGTACTTATAATTTAATTAAAGTGCTTATTAGATATAAAAACCATTTTCCCGCTTTTTTAAGAGAATATGCTAACTATATTATAAACCCGGCCGATATCGACACTTGTGAAAAAATTGTGAATGTTTTGGTGTTTTTTAATAATGCCACTGAAACTTTTAGTCATGTTTATAAACCTACCGCAAACCAATTTTTTGTTGAAGCTGTTAATCTCGCCGGCGCTTTTTCTGAATTCTCTGACGCCGCTTACGTTAGTTATTTTTGTGACTTCATGAAACAAAAGTTTTTAAAATATTATTCCTATATTCCGCATATATATGGTATTGCATTTGTTCTTGATCCTCGTTTTAGACTTTATTCTTTGGAGAAATGTTTAGATTACTATTATGCTTCTTTTTTTGGTCCATTGCCTATGTACGACGACAAGGCCATAGACCCTAAACAACAATTCCAAGAGGTTAGTAATTTATTATATCAATTATTTAATGAGTTTCATGCACAATATGGTAACGCACCCCCTCCCCCGCCACGAACATCTTCTTCATCTAAAGGAAAATCAATTTTCAAATCTGCATTTGGCAATCTTATGAAAAAAAGTAAATCAACTCCGGTTAATGAACAAAGCTCGATCAACGAGCTTTCTTTGTATCTAACATTTCCTGTTGATTATGAAGAAGGGGATGACTTTGACGTTCTTCAGTGGTGGAAGGAAAAAGAGAGAACGTTCCCGATCTTATCAAAGATGGCTAAGCAAGTGCTAGCAATGCCGGTATCAACAGTTGCTGTGGAACAAGAGTTTAGTGCGGCCGGCAACGTCCTAACGGATTATAGAACGAGATTAAGCGCAAACTCTCTTGAGACGCTTGTTTGCTTCCACGATTGGTTGAAGGCCAAACGTAGAACTCAAGAAATAAGCATTGAACCCACTCGCCACTTTATGGAAGAAACAACTGAAGATGGAGGAAATTCTAATTGATTCATACTTCATTACTTATTATAAAGTGTATTTCATGTTTTTATTTTTACTCAATTTTCAATTGTACTACAAATATCAAATAAATATGTTTTACCCTTTTTTATGTCCAAGTAATATTAATTTAATTTTGGTATCAAAAAAAAAAAAAAAAAAATTAAAGCCCGGGCCCGGCCCGGCCCGGCCCGGACCCGACCGGGTCGACCCGGCACGAACCGGACCCGGTATCACCCCGGGCCGGTTCCGGGCCCAACAATCCCCAAAAAAAGCCCGCCCGGGCCCGGCCCGGAACCGGAACCGGCCCGGCCCGGGTCCATCCCTATCTATGGATAGTACTTTCGTTTATCAGCTTTTTCTTGTGTAATTCCCCAATTAGTCTAATATTCCCGAGCTTTCTCCTCCTAAGCGTCCAGTTTTGATTTCGAGATGCATAATCTCGACTAGCATTTTTGCATCTATCCACACCTCTCCTCTCGAATTCCTCCAGGCAGCGATTAATAAGTAATTTACTAAAAATAAATGTCTCATCACCCGAAGAACACAGAATAGGAGGCATGATGATGTAATTTAGTTTATGACAAATGTCTGCTAAGATTTCGCAGAAACTATGCACCATTACAGCTTTCTCATATGCCCGTGAAACCAAATCCAAAACTGTGACATCATTTTTCATCTCCTCCTCCCTATTTGTCTGACCAATGTTGTTCCTGAGAACCAACTCTCCTTGACCGAAACATGAACCAGCAGCAGCAGGAGGGAAAGCATTAATGAAGACATGCACTGGCTGGCAAAGAAATGCTGCTTCCAAAAACCATTCCCATGATTGATTGTCAGTGAGTGGAACAGACACAAACACAACTTTATCCCCAGGAATCATCATAGGGTACCTTCCGAACAAAGCAAGACAAGTCTTCTCTTCATTGGTGTTCATTTCAGCATGCACTTTAGCCACAAGCTCATCGTGCCCAATAGTGCGGCGTAAGAAACACAGTCTTTTGGGAGGCGCTGAATAATCTATTGACCCGAGATCTCCACGGTGTATCGTATCGCCTCCCCAAAATAGTAGTAATGCAAGTTGATCATCATTACCTAAATTGCATAATTCAAAGTTACTACATAGTATGTATATATATATATATATATATATATATATATAGAGAGCAGTCTTCCGGTCAGGAATTCCTGACCGGAACCGCCGTCCGGACGGCGGCGTTTGGCCGCCTTCCAGGTGGAATTTTTCGATGAAATTTTTATGTAATGTTCTTCATCAAGTCTAGTTTATCCAAAAAAAAATTCAGCCAAAAACTCATTCGGGAAGGTTGTCAAATGATTTTTGCAAGTTAACTGGTCCGGAAAATACATATTCCGGACGAGTTAACTTGCAAAAATCATTTGACGACCTTCCCGATTGAGTTTTTGGCTGAATTTTTTTGTGGATAAACTAGACTTGATGGAGAACATGCTATAAAAATTTCATCAAAAAATGTCACCGGGAAGGCGGCCAAACGCCACCGTCCGGACGGCGGTTCCTGTCCGGAATTCCGGACATGAATAAAATTCTATATATATATATATATATATATATAGATTTAGGTTCATGTGAGAACTTAATCTTAGGAGAGTAAAAAAGAATAGATATCAACCATTAGATCATCTTTTAATTCTTGCGTGTGATTGATCTCCCAGAAGGTTATTGATGTCATTTTATTCCTCCAATTCCATATATACCGTGATTTCTAAAATGGTTATCCACCTCCTCCGCAAAAAAATATTGACTTTCCTTGAATGTCTTATTCAATGATTTAATTCCATTCTTACTACTTTTCTTTTTTCTTTTTTATATTTTACGTACATGTCTATGGCTTCATCAATCATTTCACATCACCATATGCCATGGATCATCGCTGCAAGATTTTTAGAATATTATATTATTCTTAGTAATTTATTGTAGGCATTCAAAATTGTTTTGTAAAAATATTATTAATAAAAAATGTGAATAAAAATGTGTATATTTTTGTGCACATGTAAGTATAGATTGTTGAATTCACTTTTTTGATTATTTAAATTTATTTATATTGTGTTGTTACTGAAGCACTTTAAAATCTATCTTCATTCTTGATGCCTTGATGAATTAATTAATTGAGGTCTTATTAAATATTAATGCATTTTTTGTTGTTCATTTCTCCATTAGTGCACTAGCACGATTACTTTCACGCACTTTTGACACCTATTTTATCAAATATATTGTTGAACTTTGATGCAATTATTATACTTTATTCATGCACTTCTGAATATATTTTAATGCACATGATTAAAGTGCATTTTATTTTGTTAGAATGTGCCAACATATTTTTTTTTCAAAGTGTGATATACTAATGCACTTTTATTTATATTAAAATGCACATGATGACTGTTAGTTTACACTCGTGCATATTTATTTTCATTTTATTTAAAAATATATGAAAGTGCACAACTAAAAGGAGTAAAATGCAGATCATAAAAAGTGCAGGCTAAAATTTGAATATGATGCATTATTTATTTTAGAAAACGAAATTAACATTCAATTGAATTATTTGCGCATGGATTCAAATAAAAGTGCACTTATTTAATATTGGAGTGCAATATTAGAACTATGATGTATTATTTATTTTAGAAAACGAAATAAACATTCAATTAAATTATTTGTGCATAGATTCGAATAAAAGTACACTTATTTAATATTGGAGAGCAAATGAACAAGCCACGAAATATTACACCCGAAAGAAAAGGATTTTAAAATAAGTTAACCAAAAGAAATGTACCATAGAGTTTCAACTAAAAGTGCAACTATTCAATGTTTGAGTGCAAATGGCTAATCAACAAAATACTACATCTGGAAAGAAAATAAAATAAAATAAAAACAATTAAAAATCTAATAAAGAGTTTTATAAATTAGTTAATCGAATCAAATGTGAGAGAATATCAATTTTGGTTATAAAGCTAAATAAGATTAAAAAAAAAGTACTAGAATAAATTATTTTAATCATGAGGGAGTTACTATGCATTAATTACTATCCGAATTTGTAGGATAGCTTTCCATAATATGTAACGGATCATCAACTATTTTTTAATCTTTTACCTAAATGACCTTTACCTATTATTATTGTGTGTATCTATCCAAATTAAATCCTAGCATGTGCACATCATGTGCCATTTTTAATTCGTATTGTCTTTTTTGTGCCACACGATTAAGTGAAACAATGGCCAGATTTCATTCTTTTTCCCTCTCCTGGGAATCCGTTCTCACAGGAACCAACCCCTATATATATATATATAGGACAATGCTAAGGTAAAGTAGGCCTAAGAATTGTAATTCTTAGGCCTCTTTCATTTGAGGTGCTTCCGGGTCGAATTATTTGATGAAATTTTGTGAGCATATTCTCCATGGATTGAAGATGATGTCCACCAAGTTTCACAATAAAATTCAATCGGGAAGTCATTTAAATAAATTGTTGAAAAAAAATTGTATTTTATATATGTAAAAACCTGCGCAATTTTGAAAAAATTATTAAACCGACTTCCCGATTGAATTTTTTTCCGAAATTTGGTGGGCATAATCAACACTTCATGGAGAACATGCTCACAAAATTTCATCAAAAAATTCATTTCAGAAGCACCTCAAATGAAAGAGGCCTAAGAATTTCAATTCTTAGGCCTACCTTACTTGAATATTTTCCTATATATATATATAGGGGTGAGATCACATACTAACCATTCCTCCCATGCTAACCTACAAACTATCAAAAACGGTGCATCTTTACATTATTTGTACTGCATATTGAAGTTCAAAGTGTTGCATATTATTTGTACTGCATATTAAAGTTCAAAGTTTTGCATATTGTTTTTATTGCATATTGAAATTCACAGTGTGCATCTTTACATTATTTGTACTGCATATTGAAGTTCAATGTGTTGCATATTATTGAGTTAGTAAGTTAGTATTTTAAGCATGGTTAGTATGTGATCTCTTATATATATACTCCCTCCGTCCCAAAATGGTTGGCCAAATTTCCTTTTTTGGCCGTCCCAAAAAGGTTGGCCATTTCCATTTAAAGTAAGAAATACGTGGCTAAAGTTAATTCTCTCTCCTCTGCACAAATTTCAACCACACAGTTTTTACTTTATTAATCCACGTGCAAGTCAACATTGGCCAACCATTTTGGGACGGAGGGAGTATATGTTTGTATGTATATATATATATACACACACACATACGAAGTCACAACTGAACAGCTAGACTCTGAACATACAAAAGTTCATCATACGGAGTATTATATTAGTCCATGCTTAGGACAACAACAACAACACAGGCCAATGATTAAGATGCATCCATACAATTTAATTCCATAAACAAAGTAGTGGTTTCATACCTGACATCTTTTCTGCCCTTGCCTTTACACTTCACGTACAGTAGTATGCCCTAAAAAAGTGAAATAAAATTTAGAATTCTTTGATTTCTCTGATAATAGTACAGCTCTTACACACATATACAAATATCCTTCAAGCCACGAAGGGTTAAGTGTGAAAATACCGAGTAGCCTCACATTTCTCAAGGATAAAAAGAAAAAGTTTGGGATAGTCCCAACAGTTTTTTATACTCTTTAAAGTAGCAACGTCGTATACAAGGAAAAATTAAAACGGCAGTCTTTCATAAAACTGAATGCTGATAAGGACCCATCCCGCACAATTACAGAACAAAAAAAACTAATCAAAATGGAGACTGAATTCGTTTGAATCACTAAAAATAACTAAAACGAATGAGGTAGTTGAAGAAGAAGAAAAATTCGAAGTGAATTGTACAGATAAAATGAATCAAAACTGCATAAATAAGGGATTAAAATGTAGAGAAGAGTTAAATATATCAAATTTATTTAGCATCAAAATACCATAACTCGGTCGTTAAATGGTATCATTGTCCAGAAAAGAAAAAATATTGTGTTTTTTAAGAAAAAGAAGAAGAGTATCTTCTAATGTCATGAGCCGAAAACACTGGCAGGCCCCAAACTACGCACATTTAACGCATCATCACAATTCACAGTAAATGAGGCGTGGAGTACAAATGAAAGCAGGAGAAATCTTACAATCGATCGCAGCGAAAGGCCGGTGCCGGATTAGCTCTCTACTACGCTTAGTTGAACCGGGGATTAGAGGAGACGGCGAATGATGGATGGGATGAAAACTGGGACTTAGGGTGGGTAGGTCAATCGTACACGGCCCATGCTTCGAAGGGTGAGTCTCAGATTTGATTTTCTACCCCTCCGGTTTTTAATAAACTTCACGCTTTCCTTTTTTGGATTGTCTAAAATAAACTTCACACTTCCTTATTTCCTTTTTGGCAAAGAAATCTACATCAAAATAGTGCCAAACAGTGCCAAACAGTGTCTCTAAAGTGTCAAACGGTGTCAAACAGTTTCAAACAGTGTCTCAACAGTGTACTCTACATTAAAGTCAAATTTCTTTCCTTATTTTGTGTGAAGTTAAAGTGTGAAGATTAAATAAAACCTTAGGGAGTATTTTTTAAGGATTATTTTCTTGGGAATCAACTTAATTAGCATTAGTAAAAGAGAAAACTCTCAAATAAGCCCCCGTATTATATCAGAAAAGTCAATTAGACCCTTGTACTTTGAAAACACCCGATTAAACCCCTGAACTTCTACAAAACGTTCAATTGAGGGTTTTTAGTAGGTTAAGAACCGGTTTTCCGGTTAACTGCTCACGTGGCGGCCACGTGGCAGGCCACATCGCAATTAATTTATTTTTTCTTTATTTTTCACCTTTTTATTTTCCCTTTTTTATATCTATTTCCTTTTCTTTTTCCTGGTTCCCCTCTTCCCAAATTTAACCATCGTCCCCATCATTCCCCAATCCTCTACCCGTTAATTTGCCGTCCGTATATATTGTAGTTGTTCTGCGCAAACAAGAGGGGGAAAGATTGATTGTGTGCGCGTCGTTGTTCTCGCCGGATAAGAGTAGGAGTCGCCGCCGCCGCCTGATACCACGACGAAGAAGAAAGCCAACCGTGCTACTTGCCGGAGCACATCGCTGCACTGCGTCGCCAGAAGAGCAGAGGAGAGACGAGGATTCAAACGTCACTGCCGACCAGACTGACGAAAGCCTCTTCCGCTGAATCGAAGGTACAGAACAAACACGACTATTCTTGCCATAATCTCCTACGAACTCCATCAGCAACTCCGGCGATGGCAGACTCTCTTCTCGATGCGAATGGGAAAAACAGAAACAAAGAAACATAGAGAGAAAGAAAATAAAGAAGGAAAGGAAAAACAAAAAAAACAAGAAAGAGGAGTGGCGAAGGGGAAGTCAGGTCCCTGGGAAGATAGATGCGGATGTGAGGAGACAGAAAACCAGAAAAGAAAAGGAAAGAGAAAAAAAGAAACAAAGAAAAATAAGGTCAAAAGAAAATGACCGTCATGTGGCCTGCCACGTGGCCACTACGCGAGCAATTAACCGGAAACTGGTTCTTGACCTGCTAAAAACCCTCAATTGAACAATTTGTAAAAGTTCAGGAGTTTACTTGGGTGTTTTCAAAGTACAAGGTCCTAATTGACTTTTCTGATATAGTACGGGGGCTTATTTGACAGTTTCTCTTAATAAAATCAAAAGTCAAGCGGCATACCGCATACATGCGCATGACCCTCCGAGGAATGCACATGTGGCGTATGTGCCCACAACCGCTTGAGAGCAACCGTTCTTATTATTAACTGATTTTGTGTGGCCGTGTCCGTTTACGTAGGGTTTTGTTTTTCCCGTCGATCGCCGCCGATCGTGTGGGTGTTGTTTTTCTCTTCTTGTGCATCGACGATTATTAGCGCAAGGAAAAGTGTGATATACAAGAGTGAAGAGACAGCGAGTGTAGAAGCTTTCTGCGTTAATCCAATGGAGGAGTTCGTGGATCAATGCCACCAATCCGGAGATTTTCACAGGCAAAGACATATTAGGAGGCGGCACGGGCGACGAGCAGATGGAGAGCGGTAAAGGGTTGAACAAGGGAGAAGATGGATTTATGTATCCCCCCCTCCTGAACCGCCGCCTTGGAGAGATCGAGGTGTCAGGGCTTGGAAGATGATGTTTCAAGAAAACTGGCAGGAAGGAGTTTGGGTTTACAGTGATTTTATTTATTATGGTCTTATTTTCTCGTTATGTTTGTTTACATTTCTCTCTTTTTGTTGTTGTCTTTAAGTTTAGTTCTTCAATAATGATTGTCAATTCTGCTAGGTTTTTTAGTTCTTTAATTATCGCTACAAGGATCTATATGGCCAATGATTGCATTGTCACACCCGCTTGGTGGTTAGCGATTCGTATTGCTCTTTCAGGAGTGATCGTCTCTGAGTCTAGCCATAGGGTTGATAGTGCTAGTTGGTTAGGGATAGTTGTTGTCAATGTTGATCTATCTGAGTTTGTTGTAACGATCCGATTCCTATTGATATTAATATAAGTGGTTGGTTTGATGATTAAAAAAAATCAAAAGTCAAAGCATTCGAAATACAACTAGGAGCCTCAAAAAACCAAACCCGGCTATCAGACATAGAACTCGCCGCTCTAACCATCTCTTCAGCAACCGTGTTCGCTAATCGCCTAACAAAAGCAAAGGAGATATTGCTAAAACCCGAACTAAGATACGAGCAGGTTACTCCATTCGTCAACTTGAGTCTAATTCCAAGGAAGCGGTTTCGATTATGTTGGGAGTAGATGCGAGAAGATGGAGAACTGAGATTAAGGAAACCTTGCTCGATTTAGGCAACCCAGCTATTTCTTTTGGACATATACTGCGGGAAGGAAATGTGGTTGCCCATCATCTTGCTGATCTCAAATCGGCCCAGTTTAGAATTTTTTTCAGGCCAATAATGGATCTTCCAATCTTGGCAAATCGGGCCTATTATATGGATATGTATGGAATTCCCTCTTTTAAATTTCTTTAGTGGTAAGCGTCAAACTGGGCTTTAGGGAGGTTTTGGTTTGGCCCCCCTCTCTCTATTGTGTTTTTTCAGAGGAATGCCTCTGAAGGGAGGTTTTTGTTTGGTCCCCCTCTCTTTTTGTACTTCGCTTACTTCTAATAAAATTCTGGCAAATGTCCCCCGACATTTGTCCCATTGATTTTGGTGGTTTGCCTTCCGGGGTAAAAAAAATAGCCCTTAACTTTAAATGTAAAAAAAACTTCTTGTTGACGAATAAAAAGCATGCTATAGTTGTTGAATATAGGGAAAATTACTATTATCCCGTGGCTCCTTGAAGTTATGTCATAATTATAAATGCAATCCAACATTTTCAAAAACCCAGAGTTTTGATTACTCTAAATGTTTTCCCCTCACATTAATATTTATCTAATTAAATTTCATATAACTCCCAAATTCAATAAGGTTTGTCTACAATATTTACTCTTAAAAGTAAAAAACAATTCATCATCATAGTTGTTGATCATTATTTTTTCTTCATAGCTGGTTGTGAAACGAATATTAATAATACAGGGGGTTTTGACGCATTTTTTGAATCACAGAAAGCTAATCAGGGGCCGTTCCTTGTGTGAGGCTGCTGAGGCATTGACCTCAGGGCCACAAATATTTTAAAATTTTAGCGGGCCAATATTTTAGATATCTTCCTATTACATATACATATATGTATTTTAATTATAAAAAACTGCCTTTGTTTGGTTATGAGATCAAAAGAAGACAAAAAGAGCTTGAAAACGGCAATCAGGATGACCATCTGTCAATCGTTCAAGCATATCTCCTTGTAGAAACATCCAAAAACACGATTCAAAGTCCAAATGAAATATAACTTCAAGGTCTACAAATAATATGAAGACACCTTTGCTAGAATCTGAGAGGAAGAAGGTGAAAACAGATGATGAAGTCAGATGATCCCTGTTGCGATTTCAGAATAAGACCTTCCACCATTTTGATCATATCTCTTGATTGAATGATTCAAATCCAATTCCGCAAGTTGTGGTGGATAGAGGACTTCATTATCTACAACTTTGATGAAGAAAGAATTTCCAAATTCGGAAGTTAAGTAGGCACGATCGTGCCCTCAAAGTTAGGCACGATCGTGCGTGAAGAGAAAAGCACAGTAGAGTTACTGCCAGCCAGGCACGATCGTGCCTGGAGGGAGGCACGATCGTGCCCGCCCAAAATGTGCGTTTTTGCTACGGAGGCACGATCGAAGGCACGATCGTGTCTGGCACCGTGCCTGCCTCCGGAAATCCCAATCCAACTCAAATTTCACCCGATTTTTATATTTAAACAGCCCGTAAACCCCCGTTTTCAAGGGGGGAGCTTAGAGGGAGTGCCTAGCACGAATTTTAGAGGCTTTTCAGCCTTGTTCATCAATCTTTTGGGATTCTTTGTAAGTTCCACCTTTTTAATTAATGACAATTAATTCTTTTTATTCGAATTCTATTGATTCTTCAATTATGAATTGTGAGTAGTTTTAATTAGGGATTTGGGATTGATGAAGGAGTTGATCATGATGTATGGCTAGTTTCATGATGGATTAATTGCATGAATGCCGTTTAATTTGTGTTTGAATAATTTAACTGATATCTTTTCTAACTTGGAACCGCGGCTAGAATTACAATTGCTTGTAAAATAAATTAAGAGAGATCTAATTTATTCTAGGACACTTTCACACACACTTAATCGTTCGCTAAGAGATTAGTAGCGATTAAGGGGCCACAAGCTCGCTCGTCTTGGCAATAATTTAGGAACTTGTCGCATGAGAGATCAGTCTGGTCCCCTAACTTATTGTACTCTACGCCGCGAGAGCGGTAAGAACTTAGTAATGATTAACTAGGCTCAATTGAATTAATTTCATGTGATTAAGCCTGATCTGCCAGAAATCTGATTACCCCGGAATCAATCTCTGTTCCCTTCGTCGTTAATTAGAAAGAACTCCCTAGTTTAATCGTTTTATTTGCATTTTAATTTTCCAGCAACCAATCTTGCATGACACATTTTTTTATTTCTTTTTAATCGTTGAATTGAATTAATTCTTGATTCCCTTTTATCTGTCCCTGTTGAGACGATACTCGTACTTACACCACTATATTACGATCTATTTTAAGTGCGAGAAAACTCACATCAGCGTGCATCTTCTAAATCTTCGGAAAGGATGGCGCCTTGGCCGACATGCTCGAAATTCCGGCGAAAGCCTTTTACACCTCTGTTGCCGCAGTGATGCCATCCTTGGCCGACGAGCTCAAAATTGCGGTATCCGTGTTCTACACCTCCGAGGCTCCGACTCCACCGAGCTCATGCATGGCAGCCGGCTTTTCAGAGTCACGTAAAAGAAAGGAAGAAAGGAAATCCAAATCTGATCATTTTTTTAAAGTTGGGGGGCTTAATTGGGTGTTTTTTTAGTTCGAGCGTTTAATTGACTTTTTTGATATACTACAAGGACCTAATTGACAGTTTCCCTTGAAAATTGCCTTTAAATTAGTATTATTCATGTAAAAACCCCTTTATGTACGTAGTACGGAGTATATTACAGTTCACTTTATTTATCTAAAAGTGATGTTGCAAAAGAAATTTTAGCTTCCATATTAACACATCTATAATTAATAGTCAATAATTTTTAAAAATGAACAAATGGAGTGGTGCTTTACTCTAGAGCTCAGATGGAAATATTTGAATATGATTCAATTTAAATCTTTTAATAACTAATATGAAAATATGAACTAGTAATGACCTTATTTGACAATCGGCTGTTAGCTGTTAATTGTTAGCTAATTATGATAGTTGTTTGACAATAGCTGATTGTGTTAACTGTTTTGATTAACTGGTTATATTAGCTTGTTGTCAATAACTGTTTGGTAAAATTAACTGTTTAAGATTAGCTGATAGAGTGTAAAAAGACGAATAAGAACATTAATACATATTTACAACACATTTATTATTTAAATTAGTCTTTCACCTAAAATCTAATACTCCCTCCGTATTTAAAAGATGGTTGCGTTTGATTATGGCACAAAAGTTAAGAAAGAATTGTAAGGGTAATGCATAATACTACCTCCGTCCCATTTTATGTGTCTTGGTTTGACTTGACACGGTTATTAATGAAGTGGTTGAAAAAGTAAAAGTTGTGGTTGAGGTTTGAGTATAATAATGTGAAATAGTGTAGACCACATATTTCTTTCCAAAAAAGAAAAGGAGACTCTTATTTTGGGACAACCCAAAAAGGAAAGTAGAAAATGTAAAATGGGACGGAGGGAGAGAAGGTGAAAAAGTAGAAAAAGAGGATAAAAGTAGAAAAACAATGGTAATTGAATATTTTTAAAGAAAAAATCTACCAAAAATGGAAAGTGTAAGGAACTTTTAAATATACATCAAAAAGGAAAGTGTAGTGCACTTTTAAATGAGTACTTCGCAAATGAAAGGTGTAGAAAACTTTTAAATATAAAAAAAATTGTACTAAGCTTTTAAATGAGTACTTCGTAATAAGTTTTGTTGGCTACCTGCCTACCTGCTTCAAAAAAAGTTTTGTTGGCTACAAGGTAGTATTGGCACCATGTACAAGGTTTTCAACTCCAAATGGAATTTAGAGTTGATGGGTTTGTCTTCACCGACCCACTTTTTGCTGCGCCGCTGGGTTAATATACACCCACAGGCCATAGCCACACATACTATACATATGCTACATACGCCAGGAATATATCAGGGGGAAATCGGGGATGTTAATCAAAAGGGAGAAAAAAACAGAGAGAAAATGGGAGAATCAAAGAGAGAAAATATGGAATTACGATTTTTAAAAATGAAAATAAGATTTCATCTCAAATACAAATAAATTAAGGGAAAAGGTGCAAATAAGCCCTCGAACTAACCGAAAAAGTGCAAATAAGCCGTTTTATAGGAAGCTCTGTCCGGTCGTCGTCATTTGGGGCGATTCCAGGTAGAGTTTTTTTATGAATTTTTTTGAGCATCTTCTTCACCAAGTATAATTTACCCATACCAAATTTTAGCTAAAAATTTAACCGGGAAGGCAACCAAATGATTTTCTGAATTATAATGCACTGTTTAACTGCTCAGTTATCTTCAAACATTTATTTGACTGCCTTTCCAGTTGAACTTTTAGCTGAAATTTGGTATGGGTAAACTAGACTTAATGAAGAAGATGCTAAAAAAAATTCATCAAAATATTCCATTGGGAACCGCCTCAAATGGCGACGGCCGGACAAAGCATCCTATAAAAGGGCTTATTCGCACTTTTTCGGTAAGTTCGAGGACTTATTTGCCCCTTTTCCCATAAATTAAATATGTACGATGGAGTGAGTTGTGAGTATGAGTTTATCATACGCATAGCGACAGAATTGAAGGAGAATAACCCAGATGAAATGTAGTAGAGGACATAAAAGGAAGAAAGGAATTAGCCGAGGTAAACGCTGCACTCCCAAGCGTTTTACTTTACGGCTGTTTTAGCTCAAACTAGGGCTGGGCGCGGGCCAGGTCGGGGCGGGTAATGCCAAATAAATGGAACCGCCGGTTCCATTGTACGGGTCGGTCCGGTCCGGGTATTGCAATTTTGAATATAGGAACCGGACCTTAACCGGCCCGTTTGAAACGGATCAATCCGGTTCTGGTTTTTCGATTCCTGTTTGTATTTCTTAAAAATAGTAACAATTTTTGAAGTTCCAAAAAATTAATAATATGGAGTATAGGGCATTGGAAAATCTCAAAATAACAACATACTCAACAACGTGCACATTTAACACAACTACACAAGTGACATGTCCTAGTCGATAGCTTCATATATTTAAGTTCCAAACATTCAAAGAAGTTCCAAAAATCAGCAACATAATCGCTGTTAAGTTCCCAAATCACAACATCAAAGGTCCAAAATAACAACATAATAAACCTTCAAAGAGTCCTAAATGACAACTTCAAAATAACAACATAGTTTACCTTCAAGTTTGTTATATTAGTAATATAATTATCACAATTTTACTAGAATAATAATTTTAGTAAAGGTTATAGTTGTAATTTTACTAAAATATAATTATCAATTTGTAATAGTTGTAGTAGTCTTAAATGTCTTATTGTTTCCTATCCTCAAGGGGTTTTCTATTCCTACAGATTTAGGAAACTAGTTAAACTAGTGAAACTAGCAAAAAATTAACTTCATCCCCACGCATAAAATTGAACTTCACAAATAATTTAAATTCACCACAAGGCATAAATTAGTTGTAAATTACTATACACTATATATAACGGGCCGGGCCAGGTACCCGACATTTTTCGATATTGGAACCGGCCCGGGTCTTTAAAAAAAATTACCTGACCCTACCCGGACCGTTTTTTAACAACAAAAATTGGAACCGGCCCGTTTTGAGAACGAACCGCCATTACCCAGACCGGACCGCGGTTCCAAGACCCGTTTGCCCACCCCTAGCTCAAACAGTTAAATCAACAAGCCATTTACCAAACAATGATATTAGCTTTTTAGATAGTCAAAGAAGCTAAAAATTGGCTGATCAGCAGGCCCGGTCCTGACATTTTATGGGCAAACAATAGAGATAATGTGGGCCTTACAGACAACATGTGAATGTTTATAATTCTTTTTATTAAAAAAAACTATAGGTAAATTAAGTAGTACACTTGTTACTTGCAATATAGAATTTTGAATTAGAAAAAGACGTGGAAGTTATATCGTTTATGGAGTAACGTCTTCATATTTCAAATCATGGTTTCACTAGATCAAAACAAACTGCAACTTTCTAAATTCTGAATATTTTAATTCAATCTTTCACTCACATGAGAGAACCAAAAGAATTTAGCAAAATATCATCAATGAATCATGGAATTACATGAGAGAAGTAAATGGAAAGATCAACATTTTTTTTTTGCAGCAGAAAGATCAACATTTATGCGCTAACACTTAATGAATCTAAAGAAATGATGGAGTCTATTCTCAAGGAATTCTGGTGTGGATGCTACAAAATTTTAGACTTTTGTAGCATGTAGATGTTGTTGAATAAAGAATTGAAAGTATATGACAAAATTAAATTTTATTTCATTTTATTTTAAATTTTCTATATAATGTATATATATTTGAAATACTTACGTAAATATATATAATTGGAAAATTTATGGGCCCTATGGGAGCAATGGGCCCTGGGCGCATGCCCCTTTGCCCATGCCCCAGGACCGGCCCTGCTGATCAGCCATTTTCCAAACATGACCAATATCTATTACAATGGATTATACGTAGTATTTAAATGAATACTAAATATAAATATGGATGTTTGTAGTTTTAACATACATCTTTATTGAATATAGGTTAATATATTCATAATCTTAAGAAAAAACTAATTATTTCTCATTGTGCATAGAAAATTTAATTTTTCCATAGAAAATTATTTTAGCCATGTGACTTGTTGACTATAAATTATGAAGTATATATATCTAGGGTGCGGATCAAATAAAAATCATTCTTCTCGTAAAAACTGCAAATCGTTTACTTTTTCTCAAATATGATGCACTATTAGGTTTCTATGTTACATTTTTTCACATGGATAATTTTTTTTTGACTTATTTACCAAAATGTCACTGCATTTTATATTTAGCATGGCTCGACCAAAGTTTAAAAAGTGAAACAGACCATCCTTAAAGATAAAGTGAACGGTTTGTGGTTTTCAAGGAAAGTGAGCAAACAAAACTTTGTGTACACGATACTGTACACCAATACTTGCACATATACTCCATAAATAACTAGAAGATGGCAGTAAATACTTGCACATATACTCCGTAAATAACTTAGAAGATGACAGTAAATATTGTCATATTACTCTTATTTCGGGAAGAAAAACATAGGAGTCTTATTTTGAAATTCCAAAGTCTGTTTACTCCTATTTTGTGAAATCTCCCAATCAAAAAACATGTTGACACTATTTATAAACATAAAAAACCGACGAATGTGAACTACGATATATACAAAGACTTCCCTTGTTCATGCACATGTGGAATTTTTATTTGCATCATTTGAGGTTTTCTTCAGGCTGCATTGACATTAGACGCTTACGTCAATTCAGTGATATCTTCTTAAACCTGAAAGTTCGGTATAATGGACATGGATTATGGTATGGTATGGTATAAGAGGAAAGGGATACACAACTTTAGAAAGTCGAAACAAATTATGTTAGTCATGAAAAAAAAGGCAAGGCAGCCCACTACACATTGACACGGGCGAGAATCCAGGGTCCCAACACATTGGTGTTAGTGAGTGCCCAGACATTGCGTATTGCCACAAAAAGTTCACTCCAAATGAAAGGTTTGCTGAGAAGTGATTGTAACCGAGGCATCCCAAAACAGATTTGAGTAGGCTGAACATATACAAATGAAGTCTGAAATGAAGAAAAAGAAGTACAATTTAGATCAGATATGACAAAAGAACGATAGATTGATTCTTGATCAGCGTACACACGCTGACAAATCTTTTTATATTCAAACGTCATAACATTCTTGGATTGTGTTCAGGATGTGACCTGTTTTCAATGAATATGTGCTTTTATAGAAATAATAATAATTTTACTTTAAGAAAATAATGAACAAGAGACGTTTGGCAAGGGAATGAAAAACACAAGTTTTTTAATTCCCCAAAATAATTTTTTATGCTTATTTCAGAAGGCACTGGATTGAGGCTTTTAAAAGGAAAAAGAAAAACACACTTGGTGTTATAAAAACGCTTATAGCATTAGTCAACCCCAACAGGCTCTTTTATTTAAATCCTGTACCTTTTGAACCCAGTAGTGCTTTTGAATGCAGAGAGTCATCAGCCTCACTTGAAGAAAGACAAGAAGAACTACTCCACAAAGTCAAACGAGTCAATGGAATCCAACTCTTTTGGATTATGAACAAGGCGCTCAAAGATGCGACAGTGCTTTGGATGCTGAACGATGGCTTCCAATATCTTATCTTCGGACCCCAGAATGTCTTCTTTGCTGCTGCTACAAGGAGCCTGCTCGTCTGCAGATGTAGAAAAGACCAACTCGGATATGAAGTCCTTCTTGGCCTGCCACGCAAACTTCTTAGCCTCCATTGTGGATGAAATGAGGTGATAGACGTGCACGATCTTCGTCTGCCCAAGCCTGTACGCCCTACTCAACGCCTGCCTCTTAACAGAAGGATTCCACACCACATCAAGCAACACAACTCTAGAAGCCCCCACGAGGCATATACCTTCTGAGCATGCCTTTGTTGATGCCAAAAGCACTTTTGCTTCACTTTTGGGATTATTAAACGTGTTCATACATGCTTGACGGTTTTTTGAATGGATATCCCCATCCATATACAAAACTTCTCTTCCTTCAACCCAATTGAAGACATATTCCAGCTGTTTCTTGATAAGTTCCATTGGGGCAAGAAACTGGCTGAAGACTATAACTTTCTCACTGTGTAAATCACTTAACCGTATTAAGGCAAAGACAAATTCTGTCTTTACTCCGGCATCCGGATCTAACTCAAGATCTTCCACCTCATTCCTATACTCAGAGAAGTCCGGAACGTCTTTGACCAGTGAAGGGTGAACAGAGATCCGAGTCATCAGATAGTCTTCCTCGAAGAATTTCTTCTCTGAAATCAGAGAAAACATATTTTGTTGCAGAGTCGTTGGCTTCAAGAAGATCAGGTTGGACCTTAAGCCGGGAAGACGCTCTAAAAGTATAGTTCCCTTGTGTACATGGACTAGTGGGGCAATAATACTCTTAAGCTCCCTGACATCAATATTTTTATCCTTCCCTATAGAGCTAGTAAGGCGATCCCATATTTTTTTCCCAGAATTCCTCCTCTGCACGTATTTCGGGCAAACGAGGCACAAAGTGTTATACAGCTCGTCAAAATTGTTCTGGAAAGGAGTTCCAGACAGGATTACTCTCCGTGTTGTTTCTAGTCTTGACAAAGCATTCCAAATGAGGCTGTCATCATTCCGTGGGGTGTGCCCTTCGTCAAGCACTACTAGGCTGGGAACTTTAAGGAGAATCTTCCTCACCCTCTCGTCATCATCTTCATTCTCCTTGACCCTTACTAGCTGCTCAAACAGCCGGTACGAAATTCCCAAAATGCCTGAACCCTTTGCCCAAGAACACAACTTGAGCATACGTTTGGATTCTATTCCTTTGGGTTCGTTCGGAAAACCAAATCCTGTCCCGTTTTCATTTCCTGACAGGGATGGGTTGTTCACATTGTGGAAGGGAACATCGACCTCCCACTTTCTGAACTCCTCTTCCCACGTGAGAAGCATGCTCCGTGGAGCTATTATTATTGGACGGCAAGAGGGGAAGAGTTTCATGAACGAAAGGAGAAACGTTATGGTGAGGCGGGTTTTACCGGTACCAGGTGCGTGTGAGATTATGCAACCATTCCCACCATTGGACTGAAGCTTCTGCAGGTTCTCAATGTGAATATCACCGGCAATGTTCCTCCACAGGAACTCAAACCCCTCACGTTGATGTGGATACATTGCTTCTTTAGTACCCAGAGGAAGGACGTCCCATACCGTCCCTCCTCCATGGATAGATGAAGTGCATTGAGTGTTTCCAGCACCACCAGAAAATGGGAGGTCTTCAGTTGAGAGAAGATCTAATCCACCATAGGATTTCGTGTATCGCCTCACTCCTGTTTTAGTAGCCTGCGCACACAATTTGTAAAAATGAACCTATTACAATTACTTGAACATTGACCAGATATCTCTTCTAAAATTAGGATGCCACCTGTGTGAGGTAATCAAGGAAACAATCATATCTGATGGTAAATGCTAAATCTACGGAAGGTAAAGCAAACTATTCTAATCAGTACTTACTGAAGCAAATGATACCAGTGGGAAGCCAAATCATTCATACCCTTAGCAACAATTTCGCTCAAGAACGAAATGCATGTCAATCAAGTAATTAACAACAATCACATCCGTTCTAAATGTGAGCAAACAAAAAAAAAGTAATGTTTTAAGCTTGTTAGTTGTTACAATATATTACTAGTAATATATTTTCCTTTAGAGGTTGTTTGGTAACATTTTCTCATTTTCGGTTTTATGTATTCAATTTTTTCCCTTTTCTGTACTTCTAAAATAATTAACATGCTGGGGAAGTCTGTTTTGTATATGCGGTTTGTATTATGTATTATGAAAACATTACATGCTTTTATAAAGTGTCAAAATAAGAAACATATTCTCCATTTTGACAGAAATGATAAATTCTTGTTTACAACCATTCTTAATACCCTCTGTTTTTTTCTTCAAAAACAAAAACGCTACATTCTTGGACGTTTTCTTTTAGGGAGTACGTATTTTCAAAAGAGTGCAAAAAAAGAAGAGGGAAGATAAAGGCAATAACAAATGACACCTTAGTTTTGAAGAATTAGAAAGCTGAATCAGGACTATTGCTTAAAGTAGTGATGCAATGCATATTAATGATAGTATAGAACCGACTAGCAATGAGTTCATGCAATTCAAACAAACAAGGATGCTAAAAGAGGGCACAGTCAAGCTTCAACTACTTACGAATGAGGGCAGAATGTACTTCCTCTCCCGATGCACAAAGGAACAATACTTGCACATTAGACCTATCTGTTCATCTAAAATGAGCAAGTGTTTCCCCTTTTGGCAGCAGACTTGTGGAACATCATCATCATGCTTTTCTTCAGAACTGCCGCCATCTTCTTCTCTCTGCATATTTAGAAACATAAAATAAATAAAAAATCTACTGTACATGTATAGGTACCAAAGCTTTTCCCAACAGGAAACAAAGAACTATTTATTGTGATTGGTACCAAAGCGTTTCCCTGCAGGAACCAAAAAATTACTCTGTATTTATTGTGTTGGTGATACATAAATAATTAAATATTCTATAAAATGCATGGAATATCTCATTCCACAAAAGCTAAAATCTAGAGTTAAAAAGAGAAACAGCATGCTTAAGAGCTAAAACACCAGAGTATGAACCTACCAAAGCTTGAGTGGTCAAGCTCTCCTTGACTTCCTGAAGACCTGATTCAAGATCCAAAAAGAGGCCTTCAGTTTCTTTCTCTGATTTGCTTTTTTCAGGTGGAGCGGGATCTTCATCCCCAAACCAGAACTTTAGAGGTAAAAGTTTATAAATATTCTCTCGGGAAAAGTGCATATCATTCTTTGTGAGATCCACATTCCTCCCCCATATAGAGTCAAGAAGTATTTTCTTGAACTGAGGATCTCCCCTCCCGCATTGTGACCTCCTCCATTTACTCAGATGCTTTACTTTCTTCCTATCATGAGCACAAACATTGTTTTTCTTCACGCATTTATCATCTTCTTTGGCCTCAACATCAAATGAAGACTCAGATTTAGTGCCATCTTTAGAAGCAGGGAGACTGTTTTTAATAAGTTTATTTTCCTTCACTGTAAACTTGGAGGCCAAACATGACCTAAGACGATAAGCAATACTGTCATCGGGTGCCGCCTTACTACCATCATCCCTCCTTGTCATGCATTTGTTTTTAAGGTTTCCCGATTTCTTGTCAATCTTATTCCGTTGATTGAGAACAAAATCTTTCTTCGCAATCCAAGTGACATCATCCACCTCCTCTTCATCAACCATGAGACTAACATTATTACCATTGCTTCCCTCCACTTTCTTATCCGCGTTTTCTGTATTACCGGATAAAAGATCGAGAGATTTACAGAGGAACTCGATGGAATCAAAACAGATATCATTCTTCTCCCTTGCAGCATTACCCATACTGCCCCCAATTTTCAACATGTCTCTACAAGTCACATATTTATCCAAGAACAAAGCATAATCATCATCAGCGTAATCACACTTGTTGTCATTCAACATACCCCCACAGGATTCGTCCCCCCGTTCCTTCCCCGGTTCATGACGGCACCCTCCTTCGTCTCCTAAAGAAACATTATTCTTCCCAATTTTCTCATTCCCCATACCATTTTCCATGTTGTTGGAGGATTTGAGCAGAATTTCACCAACGTCATCATTCTTTTCAGTGACAAATTTCCTCCTCCTTTTCTTAACCTTCTTTAACTCATCATAATCAATGCTACCCTCACTCTCCACCTCCATACTAGCCGCAGTTTTGTCCCTAACATTTACTCCCACCATTCCATCAGGGGATCCATCAACTTCTTCTCCTTCATCACTGCCCACTAGAACTGGAAGGCTGACACCTTTCCCATCAACACCACCCTCCCTACAACCGTGATTGTTAATCTCATTTAGTTTCTTTTTCTTCTTCTCCTCATTCCACTCTCTAGAAAAGTTGCCCCACTGCCTCCTCGTGTATATCCTCCTACCAAAATCCATTTATGTATACCTGAACAAGTAAAAACATGCCACAAAACAATGCACCTATATCAGCCCACACAACATAAATAATACTCCGTAATAATATAATAGAAAGAACAATAAAGTGTCCTATAAGAAGGGAAAATGCTGGAAACAAATATCCCCCAAGAATCATCTCACCACATTATCTGAAGTTCATTATAGCTTAAATGAATGATGGTATTTGAACTGAAACTCGTTTTCAATTGGAAGAGACCAATTCCACAAAAATTATCTCTGCTTTTAAGAACATAGAAACTTCCAAGAAATCGAACCCCATGCACAGAAATCCACAGTTGACACCCAAGCAAGAGAGTTGTAAGAAGTCTTACCGAATGTGACTATGGCAGCAGAGACACACAGAGCATTTTTGGGCGAACGGAGACAGAGTCGACTTTAGCCCAATAGAGGTTTTTAATACTCCTCCCTTTCAAAAAGCTTCCCTAAATTGATTTTTTTTAAGGAAAAATTGAAAATAATAATCTCAACTATTGTTGGTCCGTTGATAATAATCTCAACTATTGATTATTTTTGTATAATCCCAACTATATGGACCATCCGCCAATAATGGTCCATGAACGGATATTACCTCCTATAAAAAGTGAATTTTAAATAGAAGTTAGGCGTAAAATTAAAAGTTGGGATTATTTATAGGGATTACTTGTTATATCTCTTCTCATCCACCTTAGAAACTACGAAAATTTATTTATAGGGACCATTATTGGCGGAAGGTCCCTAAAGTTGGGATTATTCTGAAATAATCGATAGTTGGGATTATTATATAGTTGGGATTATTACTATCAATTTTTCCTTTTTTTTATCAATCTAATCAACTTTAACCAATATAATTTTTAATACAAAATTATTTTGAAAGTGAAAATTATTATTAAAATATATTTTTCATTTAAAATATTTTTATAAAAGTATAAAATTTAAAAATTTATATAAATATATAATGCATAAAATTACTGTCCAAAATTTACCATCATTGACCTATAAACTTAATATGGTTAATTTTTTCGGAATGAAAGTCGTAACTGTTAGCTTTAAGTGGTTCGAAAAATCTTAAAAGGGAAAGGCAATAGCCATTTGAAAAGAAACTAAATACTTCATTTAGTTTCATTTGATGGCTGTTATGCCTAATTAATTTTAAAAGATACAATCTTTTTTAAGATGTTACTCAGTAAGCTTTTAAAAAAATTTGAGAAAACTATCATAGGCCCTCGTACTATAGCAAAAATTAGGGGTGGGCAATTGGTTTACGGTTAGGATTTCTTCGGTTTCATTTTATTCGGTTTGGGAGAATTAGTACCAAACTTAAATCTTTTGAGTTTCGGTTCAGTTTCGGTTTGAGGTTTAGTTTGCCAAAGTAAAAATTATTAAATTCAATTTAGTCCGATTTGATTCGATTTCTTATGTTTATTATTTTATTTGATCAAGTTCTATATTTTACAATTAGAAACATGACAATAGTAGTCCATCTCATCTTCTTCTAATTATTATTTAAGTAAAAGATAGTAAAATAATAATAAAATATTATAAATTAACATCTAATTTTTCTTACCATGATGACATTAAAACTTCTATCTTTTCGATCACTTGAAAGAAGATTCAATTCTCACAAAAAATATATATATATTTTGATTAGCATTTACAATACTACGTATCACATAAAATATTCAAAGAAAACTAAATGATCGAGTTAGAGGTACAATGTTGTAATATTCACAATTTTATCCAAACGAATCATGTAAAAACTATAAATGCAATATATTATTGTTATCGTCAAACTTCTTTTCATACAGGTAGAGTACAAAACATAACTATTACAAATATGTCGTATTAGCTAACTTTGTCATAATGAATGTAGGAAAATGTGTAAAAGAAGTTAAAATGATATATGCTAAACATGTATTTTTCATGTCTAAATTATATAAATACAATATATATATACACATATATATATACTACCTCCGTTCTTAAATAAATGCAACACTTTGACTTTTACACTATTCACATGTTCTACTTTGACTACGTTTTATTTATTAATGTAATAATATTATTTTATGAAAAAAATATTGTTAAACTTGTCTCATTGTAAATTTTCATAATCTAATTTTTTTAATTTTTTTTACTAATACAAAATCATTTATATTAATGGTCAAAGTTATGTCTCGGCAAGTGTGAAATGTTGATCGTTGCATTTATTTAAGAACAGAGGAAGTATATATGTATATATATATATATATATATATTGATGGATAGTGTACCCGGGGGGGGGTAGCTTATCCGAGGGATATTATAAGAAATATCTAGAGAGAAGTCGGAGCAAACCAGTAAGAGAGAGAGAGAGTCAGGTATATTAAATGAACTCGATGTCGGTTATAGAGGAAAAGGGGCTGCTATTTATAGCAGCCATTAATGTTATACGCGTACACGTGTCAATCGTCCTACGGTGGAGGGTCACTTCAATCGGGGGTGACACCGGCATAGCATGTGGCATCACATTAAATACGGTGGTTGGACGTAACACCGCATTGAATGTGGTGGTTGCTTGTCTTCAGAGGGAATCTTTGCTGATCGTAGACCCTTCGGCCATAATACCATATGGCCAAGGGCTAAGTATGCGTGTCGAAGGCACCCTGGTGTATGTACCGAAGGCATCCTGTAGCCGAAGGCCACTATTTTAGCCAGAGTTTTCAAGCATCTAAGTTGGTCCAAGAGCGACTGTCTCCTGGAGTCTCATGCCTTTAGACCTGGTGCCGAAGGCACCCATATGTGTGCTGCGGGCCTCTTTGATCTTGGGTTGCCGTATCTGGACCTCATGTGCTCACTGGGCCTAATGGGCCTGTAAAGTGGAGGTAGACGTATGTGGGCCGGGGGGTCCCTTTACTGCAGACATCACTGCACTCAGCCACCGCCCCTTCACTGAGTTAGCCGCCGTCCTTTACTCCACTTAAGCACTTAGCCAACGCCCTTCAAAAATCCGGGGATGGCACGTGAACTCTGATGGCGGCCGCAATCCTTGGAGATGGTCATAGCAGTCCCCAGACGTGGCGGGTGGAGTCCTTGACTGGTGGGGGCAAAAATTGAAATCCTCCCCATTGGAAGAACGAGTGTGTGCGAAAGGGAATGGTGTGTGCGAACACGAAGAAGGAGAGAGAGAGAGAGAGAGAGAGAGAGAGAGAGAGGAGAGAGAGAGAGAGAGAGAGAGAGAGAGAGAGAGAGAGAGAGAGAGAGAGAGGAGAGAGAGAGAGAGAGAGAGAGAGAGAGGAGAGACGAGAGAGAGAGAGAGAGAGAGAGGAGAGAGAGGGGGAGGGGGGGGGGGGGGAAAGGAAAAATGAAAAAGAAATCCATGTGAGCTATCACGTGGACCGCCACATGGGCTATTAAGTGTGAACCTGAAGTCTACATGCTAAAACGCTAAATTGATCAATTTTTAAGAGTTCGGGAGCTCAATTGGGTGTTTTTCAAGTACTAGGACCTAAACGCCATTTTTTGCTATAGTACAAGGGCTTGTTTGATAGTTTTCCCCAAAAAAATTGAATGATACAAAAATTAGAAGTTAGAGACATAAATCTACCAAATGTGCACTAAATATGGACTCATAGTCATGTATCAAGCGGGGTGGACTCCTCAATACTCGGTACAATTTTTGTTTACATTCTAACCTTTCGATTAAATATATTTAACATATTTTATTCGTATAGGCATTACAACAACATCCAAGCCTTAATCCCAAAAGATATTGGGGTCAGCTAACATGAATCGATACATGATAATATGATATCACCACCAAAAGGTAAAGAAAGAAAATAAAGATAAAAAGATAAGCTATTATGAAAAAGGTAATATAAAAAGAGATGAATATACCTAAAAAATGATAAAATAAAAGGATAAAAAATAATGTTTATATATATAAGGATAAAAGGATAAAAAAACAAGCAAAAAAATGAGGGGATAAGATAATACGAGATCACTCCTCCACACGAATACCCGCCCTCTACTTTGCTTCTCTCCAAAGCCATACCCTCATTTAGCCTAAGAAGAAGCATATCACTTCGGACTCCCCTAGCCCACATCTGTTTGGGCCTTCCTCTCCCTCTCTTCCCTGCCTCTTCTCCACACATCTCAGCTCGTCTGACAGGTGCATCACTCGGTCTTCTACGCACATGACCAAACCACCGTAGGCGCAATTCCCGCATCTTATCTTCAATAGGTGCTACTCCCACCCTTTGTCTGCTGATTGTCTCATTCTTCACGTGGTCTTTCCTAGTATGCCCACACATCCAACGCAGCATGTGCATCTCCGCCACACTCATCTTTTGAATGTGACATTGTTTCACCACCCAACACTCTACGCCATACAGAATCCAGACCTAATTGCTGCCCTATAAAACTTACCCTTCAGTCTAGTCGGCATACTTTTATCACATAGAAATCCCGACGCACTCTTCCACTTCATCCACCCTGTTCTGATTCTATGGGATACATGTTCATCTAACTCACTGTCCTTCTTGAATTATGGAACCCAAGTAACGGAACATATCGCTGACTGGTATCTCCTTACCATCTACTGTAATTCCGCTATTACCACTGCTTCTACCTCCACCAAACTTGCACTCCATGTACTCAGTCTTGCTCCGACTTAGTCTGAAACCCTTGTTCTCCAATGTTTCTCGCCATACTTCCAACTTTGTTTTAAGACCTGATTGCTTTAAGAAATGGCTCAGAGTCGATCCTTGGTGCACTCCGATAGTAAAAAGGAACTCCGCAGTCCTCCCTACACTAGTACGGACACTAGTAGTACAATCCTCATACATATCCATGATGATGTTGATATACTTGCGTGATATGCCTTTTTTAGTTAAGGCCCACCAAAGAACTTCTTGAGGCAACCTATCATAAGCCTTTTCTAAGTCAATGAATACCAAATGTAGATTCTTGTGAGCGTCTCTATACTTCTCCATAAGTTGCCGAAGAAGGTGAATGGCCTCAGTTGTTGAGCGACCAGACATAAAACCGAATTGATTCTCTGAAATCTTCACAGTTGTTCAAAGTCTTTGCTCAATCACTCGCTCCCAAAGTTTCATGTTTTTTAGTATAAAAACTTCGCAGTTGGAAATTCAAAATCGGGAAAAATCCATAAAAATAAGCAAAAACGTTTTAAAATTCTAAAATGGGACTGTCATGATTTTATTCACTAAATAGGAGTAATTACTGTCAAGTATGAAAAATAATATCATGTTTAAAATTTGATACTATCAAAACATGACAGTGATTACTTCTATTTCGAGAAGAAAAACATGATAGTCCTATTTTGGAATTTCATAACATTTTTACTCTTATTTAGGGAAATTTCCCTATTAGTGTCATATGAAAAATCACAAAAACTTATTAATTTTGATATATATATATAT